TTCGATTTAAGCACTTGAGTTGTTTTTATCTTTGGTTGACTTCAAGAAAACCAGCTTTAGAAAGGAGTCGCTGTATCCAACATGAGTTCTTGGACCAGAACAGTTGATAAATCTCACCATTTTTTTCTGTATAATTTGCAACTTCTTTTGATCTGACTTTTTAAAATGTTATTATACCATGCAGGGTTAGCATAGTTATTATAAACGTTGAATAAGAGCAAAACAGAGTATACGTCTTGATTTTAAATCCATACAACTTTTATATCTGTACACAAATTTCAGACGAGAATTGTTTTTTTTTTACAACTGATTCTACTAAAGACGAAAATGAAATGGCGCTAGCCAACTCAATGCCTAAATAGGCCTACTTCACAGATTCTTTTCTCTTGATTACTTGAATTCATCTCCCTGGTCCAACGTAATTATGAATTAAGTAAGTGAGCACGGACCGATAGGCCAAAATCCTTCCCGCTATAAAATGAAGTGAATGAGCAGCTTGATATCTATTATGTATCTGTCAATCGCTTAAATCGAAGAAGAAGAAGAAGAAGAAGAAGAAGAAGAAGAAGAAGAAGAAGAAGAAGAAGAAGAAGAAGAAGAAGATGAAGAAGAAGAAGAAGAAGAAGAAGAAGAAGAAGAAGAAGCCTGAGGCTGAAGAAGGTAGACCTGTAATAGGTATTTGTATGAGAGATAGGCCTATCAGGGATATGAGAGTTAAAAACACCTATCATTTTTACAGACATAGACGTATAAAATGGTACATTTTCACGGGACGGTGGTGGTGGGGGGGGGGGGCAAGGGCGGGTGGCGGCAGCTACATGGTGTCTTTTACACAAATATGAACTAACCAGTTTTTATTTTTGAGAGTGAGGGAAGCGAGCAAGGGGCCAGGGACTCATACTGTAAAATCTCATTTTGTCATCAAAATACATAAAATAAATAGGCCTACAACAGTGCACTTCGCTACGAGAATAATAATTAGCCTATTACTCGTTCGTTCGTGTCTCCTTAGATCAAAATTAATGTATCTTGATCTTCAGAGTAGTTGCTATTACTATGAGTATGAGTATTCTGTGAGGGTTTAATTTTTCTTCATCAAAAAGCAAAGCTATCAAATTGACAAGATACAAGACTAGTGATATGCCCGATCATAACCACGATCTATCTAAACTCACATATTATTTATCCCTGCTGATTCCTCATCAAAATATATTCATCAACGTCTTGTTGTCTAAGACTAAGTCTATAGACCGACGCTTTACGACGACACACATCCAACAACAATAATACCGTTCATTGAAGAGAGTTTTCATTTTGTACCATACCTTATGCTTGTGACGGGATCATTTTTCTACACGAGTTTATTGCATGGGTACATTAAATAATTTCTGTCCGCCCCCTCTCTCTCTTTCTCTCTCTCTCTCTTTCACTTTCTCTCTCTTTCTTTCTCTCACTCCGGCCCTATGAAGTTTCTCCTCTGTAATTTATGTCACCTTTTATGTGCGAACATTCAGTTTAGTTCCAAACACGATTTCTCAGTAAAATGTACAAACAAATTAAGATATAAATTGTCATTCAGATGATTTCTTGAAAGTCTTTAAGATCGTGTTCGCTATACACAAGTCACAGTAACACGTTGGATAATAATTGTGTGCCATCATCATTAGGCCAACTGATGCCTTTTATAATTTCATTTTCATTTTGTATTGCTTTTTAGGCCCGTTTTTTAGGCTGTCAGATAATTTGTTTCGGGGGGGGGGGGATGGGGTCCTCTTGTATTGCATCTTACTTTCAAGGCACCGTCGCCAAATTTAAGAATGAACAGGATGATGAGTATGAGGCAGATGATTCAGGGGAGGCGGGGTGAGGGGATGGGCTCCCTACTCATTCTGAAATAAAACAACAGGTGTTCTGACTGATTTGTTTTTCTTCTATCTTATAGATCTACACAGCCATGCACCTTCGGTTCAACCAAGTTTTTTCTGTAAATCATAGCACGGGAGTCTGAGTCTATGGCAAGCCCTATAGGCCAATATAGGCCTATATCTCTTTTTGGTTACTTAAAGGGAGGGTTGAGTTATGGAAAGGATCAGAAAGTTCAAATAATCTAATTGAGAAATTTGATTAAAGTATTATGAGATAAAAACATGTAAAATTACACTATTCCACGGTTTCCAAAATCCAGTTTTTAGACACAAAATTTGTTATGATGTTGGCCCATCTTGCACCATCATAACCCCTAATACTGTTCTTGTTTTTTGTTGTGAGAAAACACAGCAGTACATCACAATTTTTCAAAAACTAATATTGATTAATCTTTGTGTAACTACAAGTAGGTTGAAAGATAAATTGACAATTTCCTGACCCTTCACTTAGGTCGGTCTTTGGGCCCACATCCGTATTTTGTGCAAACGCGGAATAGATTTGCGCGTGCATTCATGAAATTACTTCTTTTTTGTTCTTCTTTTATTAAATACTAATTACCACGCTAATTGGTTTATTCAGGTATCCTTTGGAAATTGTTATCCAATCAATGCTAATTCTTCTTAAAATGTGATTTTTTTTTTTTGCATTTTAATTTGTTCAGCGGGAGTTCCGGGAATCCGTCTCTCCCTCTCTCTCTCTCTCTCTCTCTCTCTTTTCCCTCCATACTCCATCTCAAAAACTCAGAACAAACTCCGATGACGTTCCGTTTCCATCTGCAATTCGATGGCCTTAAAAAAAAAATTACATTAATTTATAGTTGTATATAAACATTGCGCAGGCTTTTGAACAGCGGGAGGAAACGGACCCTCATGAAAAAAGATGAAAGTGGATTCAGTCTGCGAGACCAGGCGCGTACGCAGGATTTTTTCAAGGGGGGGGGGGGGGGGGAGGGGGCGGGCCCGGCGGGGGGGGGGGGTTAACAATTTCAAATCGGGCTAAAAATTTGCAACGTCTCAGCCAGCCGCTGAATAAGCAGGGGGGGGGGGGGGGGTTAAAGAGGACAAACATTTGACAACGCCCCCTATCGTCAGAGTCAGCAGCCTAACATGTTAGCCTATGGACTTTTACCCCCAAAATCGTTAAAAATTCATTTTTTGTTTAAACGAAAAGCACATCCATTTTTTTAGGGGGGTCCCGAAATTTGAAAATTTGACCGTTCAAAATTTCGTTCCGAAGGGAGGGGGTAAGGTCACCTTTTTTTAGGTCACCCATTAGCATTAAAAAAAAATATTAAAAAAAACAAGGGGGGGGGGGGTTCCAGTCCAAAACACACACATTAAAAAAAAAAATAAGGGAGGTTTAACCCCCCCCCCCCCCCACTGCGTACGCGCCTGTGCGAGACCAATTCATGGCTGAAAATGTCTCATGCTAAATATCTCATGATAAATTATTGTTTCAGATTCCCCATGGCAAAACTAAAGTAACTCTCGGGGACCGTGCTTTTGCTACTTGCTGCCCTCAAACTATGGAATAGCTTGCTAATATAAATACGAAGCACTCCATCTCTCAATGTTTTCAAATCCAATTTAAAAACTTACTTGTTCAATTGAGAGATCTTATGTTGTAGTATTTAGTAAAAATGAGCTCTTATAACCAGCGCAGCTGAATATATTTGTATAAAAGCTGCGCTATATAAATTTATTATAATTATATTATTATTATGCTGCTCTTCATCGCATTTTAATCTTAAATGTATGACTTTAAAAGTGAATAAAATTTAATGAAAAATACATGAAATATAAAGTGAGGAGAAAGTCAAAATGAGTGTGTTTTTTAGTTTGACCACGGGAGTTTAGATACTCTCTAAATTTGAAAGTCTTATTTTTAAATCTTAAAGTCTTACTTTTAAATCTAACAGAGACTGATATTAGTGACGAACCCTTTGGGATTTAAAATAAGTCTAAGCTAAGACTTGAAATTTTAAGTCCCTGAAAAGGTTTAAAATTTAAGTCAATTGGATTTATATTTCAAGTCTTTTAATATTTATTTTAAACCTTTCTTGGATTCATTTCAAAAATAAATCTAAGCTAAGACTTAAAATTTTAAGTCCCTGAAAGATTTAAAGTTTAAGTCAATTGTATTTATATTTCAAGTCTTTTAGATTTACTGGTCTAGCTAAGCCATTAGAACCATTTGGTAAAACTTCCAACCAATTGAACGGCAACAACACTTCAATACTGGTACGTCTGTATTATCAATGTAAAGGCATCGGTAATAAGTAGACTTATACATAATTTAATTAATCGATTTTTTTTTCATATACTTGTATTTTATTGAAATTATTTTAGTTCATAGTTAATGTTTCCCTTATTCATGTTTAATTAAATGGAATTCATACGAAGTAGCGAAATGTCCTAATAACTTGTAATTTATATTTGTAGTATTTTCGAAATGAATTGCATATACCTAAATCATCAGTAATTAAGAAATATGCTGTAAATTCAGAAAAATTGTTAAAAAAACATAGATCTGCACGCACCCCATATTCAATATGCAAATTAATTGGTGTCAGCTGGTTCAACTGGAAATATGCCAACAGTCAGTCATCAACAGGTGCAACTGGAAATATGCACATCTTATTGGCGAGAAGTTTAAGTCTTTCCAAGATTTATATCTAGAAGCTGGTTTCGATAAAACTTTTAGTCGAATTCCCAATTTATTAAGTCTTAAAGACTTGAAATATTTTAAGTCTCAAAATGGATTTAAAATTTAAGTCCTAGAAATTAAGAGAGTAAGGCGTTACAAAAAATGATCAAATTCAATACACTTTGAGTTTGATACAACTATTTTTATCAAACTGAAAATGATTATAAGTGGTAAAATATCGAAAATCAAACTGATATCATTAATACTGGCATCATCAAATATGATACTGAACAAATATAAATAACGGAAAGATTTGTGGCAAAAATGTTCAGTATTTTACTACTTGCCAAACAAAAACCTTAATAACGAACTATGGTAGAAAACGTAATCTCATTTCCTTGAGCGTTTCTTTGTTTGGCAACAAATCGCCGCGCCAAAAGGCGAAATTGCGAATTTGACAGCTGAGTCAACGATTTCTGAAAAAGTTAGGCAGGGGAATATCTCTGAATTTTCAATATGTTTGTGACAAATCAGGTATTCAGGGTCCGATAGTGAATTGTAAGTATGCTTTGATCAAATATAATGTTGTATTTCTAATGATTGGATGTTCACAAAACCTGGAAAATTACAAATTTAGAGAGGATAATTGATGCTCAGCGAGTTTAACTGACGCTCCCTAACGGTCCCACCCATATTGGAAATGTGAGGGGGCCGCGGACGTTGAAATCAGATTTGCTCTGAAAGGTTTTATCAATCATGCTGCATGTGAATGTTATGAGTTTGAGTTACAATTATTGTTTTATGATTTTTAATGAGTGGTAAATTGTTTTTCCTGTAGATCTACTCCCAGGGGCCTAGGGCCCCGCCCCACTCGATCACAAGCATAGGCTTTTGGGGGTCTCAATTTGGATCATGTTATTGTTTGTTCGTCATGATTGTCAGTGTCACTTGTCGGGTGTTTTTTAATAAACTGAACTGAACTGAATCAAGTCACAAGTGACTAGGCCTATTAATATGTTGTGAAGATTGAATTTGAAGTTGTGGACAGTATAGTAGAAATTAAAAGGTAAAACAAGTTGAAGTTGAAGTTGAAATCACAAGTTTTCCAATAGTCTACCTCGGGGCGGGGCTTGTGTTGGTGAATGGGAAAATGACATGTAAATTGTCAACACCAATTCAATTACAAGCATCAGTTCAGCAGACGATATTCAACACCAGCTCTGACAATCTGAGTCTTGGTCTTACTTAGTCTTACTAGAGTAGTGGCTCTGGTCTGCGGCCGATCGGCGGGAACTGCCGATTCTATTTTTATTGGAATACTCACAGAATACTTCAATACCCTCAATAAAGAGTCCATATACTTACTTATTAAATAGAAGTCACAAATAACCTAACTGACCCACAGCATGGTCAGCATTGACAACGTTTCGAAATGCTTCGAGTTCCCCGGTTTGCGGGCACGCATTACCGGTTTGCGGCACGCGTACGTCACAAAGCTTTATGCGCTACGTCACGATGAAAGCATGTACCAAATTACTACGGGTAACCCAAATTCTCATGTTTATCTGTTGCTATGGTAAATTTGTCAAGTTTTAAACAATTTCACCTTTTCCTCGAATGGATCATCCCATCCGGGGGTAAGTACTACTAGAAACTATCGGGTCATAGCGGGTACACACATCAGCACACATACCATCATACACGATCCCGCATGTTATGTGTGTATTAACACCCCCCGCCGCAAACCAGAAAAAACATGTAATTACGTGCCGGTTTGCGGCCACCCCATGCAACTGGCCATGCGGTGGCACAATCAAAATATCTGCGATAGGAGACAGACCACAGCCATCATACTTCCACAAAAACATCAAATTTCACCTCCAATCGGACAAATATCGGACAAATAGAGCTACAATATTGATCTAGTCATGCCTCGATTTCTTAACTTAAAAGTTAGCACCTGCTGGAATTTTCATCGGCGACTGGTGCCGTAGATTTCCGACATCGCTGACGGATACTCCGTACCGACAGGAGCACCTACTACGGACGTTTTCGGCAAAGCAGAACTTACCGTGGAATCCACGGTAGGTTTCAATGATTATTATCGAGTCATATTCATTTTATTTTTATAACAAATACCCCTGGCCGCAAACCGGGCGATGCCGCAAACCGGAGACTCTACTCTAGTTTTAAAATGCAATTTTCAACACACAGACTACTGGAAATGCGTCGTATTTTCTAAGGTCAACCTCAAAACCTGGGCTGCGTCTCATGAAACTGTCTTAAGTACAATTTGAGTGACATCCTATTGAAATGCGTGTATTAAGTTTGACACACGTTTCAATGGGATGTCGCTCAACTTGTACTTACATCTATGACGGTTGGTGAGACGCAGCCCAGCATTATTTCAAGTTCAATGTTGTGGCTGGTGTTGGTGTTGTGAAAACACCAACACCAGCTTTCGACATCGAACTTGAAATCACTCAATGTGTTTGATTTACTCATGAATTTAACTCCTAAAAATCATAACATTAACTATATTTTTATAAATAGGGTCTAGGTCTAGGTCTTATGCCAATGAAGAACTTCTGATATTTACCAATATAACTTTCAAACATTAAACTAGAAATTACTACCAAACTGAAATAATTTTGTTTTGTTCCTGCAAATCTACCAAGTTTCTGGAGTATTATGTATGAATTATTTCAAGTTCGGCAACTACCACCATTTAAAAACAATAATGTCAAATGGAGAAATAAGCCAGCATTTGGTCAATCATTATTCTACCAAGGTTCATTTGTCTAAAACATTTCTTAAATTAAGTTTTATTCTTTTCTATGATTTCTCAGTATAAAAATATGGAGAAAGGTACACAAAGCATGGATGCCAAGGCTCACCTCGTGAAGATGATGCAGGTTGCTGTGGAAACTGAAGATTTCTATCAACCATACCTAGAGTACATCTGTCAACAACAAGAGGTACTTGGCCCCACATTTCTATTCTGCTTTCGACTATAGCTTATCTTTCTTGTTTATTACAAGGACTGGGTTTACTTTACATTTAAATAATAATCACATTTTTATAGCACTAAGTTTAGCCAGGAGGGATTAGACCCATCAAGTGTGGCAGATCATCAGATGAAAAATGTTCCCTGAAAAGCATAGCTCTTCAAATGCCTTAATATTCTAAATATGGCATGTAACATCATAAACATTTTCATGCCACATGTTTGTGTAGTCCCATATACATAATTCTGTGTACAGTGCTTGTAACTTTACCAAGACTGGGCCAAGTTTCTTATCATTTTGATGATTCTAGAACTTTGCAGTACACACCAATACCTATATGCTAGATGATCAACCTTTTCAGATCAATTCCATGTTTCTTTCACAATGCAATCGCATGACCAGAACTCAACTTTATCTTTAATACTATGTTTCTAAGCACTTTACAATGTAATTACTATTAGTTAGTTACCCCAGTCATTGAAATCAAATGCTAATAGTGCACATGCTAGGGGTGCATCTTCAAACAATCATCATTCCTTTTCAAAGTTTACATTGTACATCTACCTGGTGAAACATTCTGAAATTACTTGAAAACCTCTCTGAGATGTTAATGAACTTAATAGTCACAACCAATTGAAGTCGTGCAGTCACTGTAATGTACTATAGTTTTGTTAATGTTTCCTCCTTTCTTTTTCCTTCCTGTCTGCGTTTTTATTTTCATGATTTTGTATACTGTAAAGGGGTCATTTTCAGTAAGCCTTTTTGTACTTTTTATGATCCTACCACTTTCACTTACAAAAAGAATTTGTCATTTGTTTTGAATGTGTTGTCTTACAGTGGAAAATAATGATTTGATTTGATATGACTCTTGACCTTGACTCTTTACTTTCAGGACTCTGATTGCATCCTCCCCTACATGCATGATGTAATCCTTGATCGCCTGCGAAGCCTGAGTAGGTTCTTCCAACTTTGTCCAGAAACCTTCTTTCTGGCGGTCAATACTATGGACAGATTCCTTTCACTTGTCAAGGTGAGAAAATGCTTTTATTACAGTTATAAAGACTGTTTAGAAACAAGAATACCTGGGGGGTATTTCACAAAGGGGCAATTCCACGGTAACGGAAGGACACTCAGACAAGATTTTTTAACTTCAGGTTCATACTAAAAGAACTGTTTTATTAGTATAAGATGTGAAACAGTACAGATATAATACCTATATAAGTGCCTTTAATTCTCCCCAAAAAAATTGTCATTATAGTTAAGTAGTTTAAGAATGTGCATATTAATTATCTCGGTAACGGAAGGACATAAAAATGGACATGGTTTTTCCAGTTAATTAGTGTTTATCCAAACTTTGTGAAGTTGATGAAGCTTTCCACTTGACTGAAACACATTTTGTTCCCCATAGTTTAATACATACTAATAAAACATTTCTTTTAGTATGAACCTGAAGTTCAAAACTCTTGTCTGAGTGTCCTTCCGTTACCGTGGAATTGCCCAAAGACCCAAGTTGAACTCATCTCTAAGTTGGACTTAACAATTATGGAAAGCCGTTAGCATCCTTGAAACATTTTGTAAAAGTTATTTTAAAAGGCATAAAATGTTGATTCAAATCATTCATATTTTCTATTATCAAGGAGATTTCATGTTCTTGATGTGGAATTTATGAAAAATCTAAAATACTTCAATTTTTGCTTTTGGAAATATTTAATTGTAAGGCTACGAATGGCTCTCCATAAATTGTAAGTCCAACTTGGAGTTGAGTTCGACTTAAGATCTTTGTGAAACACCCCCCTGGGCAGCATTTCACAAAACTGTCGTTAGTACAAGTTCGCCGACATCCAATCGGAATGTGTGTGTATTGTAATTAATACTCCTGTCTATAGGATGTCAGTAAACGATGTGTACTGATAATGATGATCTCTTTTGGGCTTTTATGCTCGTAAAACAATGATAAGATCAAAATTAGGACACTTCATTGGTTAGCTTCATTCTTGTAAAGTTAAAAGAGACATCTGCTCAAGTACCAATGGTAAGGGTGACTTAAGTTTGTCTGACAATTACCATCGATTTCCCTGACATAAAAGATAAATATGGCCGGGGGTATTGATGATTTGAAATGAGCCTCTTAATGATTATTTGAAAGGGAGCCCCTTGAATAATATCTCCATTGTCGTGCCATTGTACTGTTTAAATATATAATATTGCAAATATATTGAATGTGATTTGAATACTAAACAATATTTAAAGATATTGAATAAGAAAAAAGTGAGATGTATATATTTTTTTACAGGAAAAATTCAAGGAAGATCAAAAGTTTAAAATGGAACACGTACTAACAGAACAAATGGAATATTAGATTTCAGCTTCCATCTTAATTCCTTGAGTAGAAACAGCTGTATAAAACAAACATCCAAATTTACTGATTTGTGCTTATTTGAAGAAAAGATGCATGTAACGTATACTTGTTACAGCATAACTTATTGAATGACACGATAATTCAATATTTCTTCTTCTTTCCATTTAGGCCCGTCCTCATCATCTCATGTGTATTGCAATATCAAGCTACAACCTTGCTATCAAGGCTCTAGAACCATCAGAGGTGAGAATAACTTGATTGTTTATCCCCCTCCCCTTCCCCATCTCTATCTCTTTTTCTTTATCTATCTATTTTCTCTCCCCCCCCCCTCCTCCCTTCTCTTTCTTTCTCTCTCTCTCTCTCTGTAACCTATTTGAGTATGCTCACCTTTAATAATTTATCCAATTTTGGTATTTGGTATTTATTAACATTTATTTCCTTCTCAACAGTACAATATGAAACACAATGCATATATACATGATACATGTAACAATTTTTTCAACATAGAGTATACAGTAAATAATTCAGATACGGAAGGAGGCAAAAATACTCAATACTCTGCAATATCATCAATTTCTTTCTTGCTTTCAACAGTCATCGATATCGGCCGAGGACCTAGTCCGCATCAGTCAGTGCGGCTGCTCAGTCAATGACGTACTGCGCATGGAGCGCATCATTCTCCAGAAGCTTCAGTGCGACCTCCAGGCCCCCACTGCTCACCGATTCTTCAAGCTCTTCCATGCATACAGTGTCGTGCAAGGCATTCTGGGTAACGATACTGCCATGCAGAATACTCAACTTGAAAGCAGCACACAAAAGCTGGAGGCGTGTCTGTGTTACTTCCCTTTAACTCTATATAAGGTAAGTTCAGGACCCCATTTCACAAAACTTGTCATCAGTGACCAATGACAGTTTGTGTTATAAGCTACTGAAATCCTTGCTTCTGATTGGTTATCAACAGATTTGTCACCGATTTTTGTCATTTGTCATTGAAAAAAGGCTTTGTGAAACAGGTCCCTGGTAATGGAATTTAAGTGCATGAACTCTTGACTGATTTCTTAAGTTGCCCAACAGGATTTCAGGTTGTCACTAGCAACCAACCAGGCAACAGATATTTATAGAAATGCACAATCCTTGCCAAAGTTGTAGAACTCTTGTCACACATCACGCATAATCATGTGCAATTTTTCTGTCAATTCGACTGATAACTAACCTTTGATATATTCTTGATTGTTTAGCCGTCAGTGCTGGCGCTGGCTCTCTTAACCCATGAGTTACCAAACGCCTCCTGTGAAGTACACAATCCCAATGATATCAGATGGATGAGGATAGTTTGGGATATACAAAGAGTATCTCAGGTAAGTGACTTTAGTTATAACCCTTTGGATAACTCAGATATGTTTGATGCAATAACAACATATAGATGGGAAAGTATGCCACATTGAACGAGTTGACCTATGAGCTACCATATTCTTTATATGAAGTATGATACATGGTATATGGACGGCTCAGGAGCATTGTGATAGCAAATGAATTGCACAAGAATATATATTGACTGAGCTTACAAGTTTCAAGGAGTCGATAAAGAATGTCATCTGTGATGTCCTTTCCAACATGAATTACGAGAGAAGAAGAAAATTGATTCTTATCTAAATGCTCTTAAAATTTTGAAATATGCATTAATGTAGAAAACCAATGCACAAACATAATACGTACAGTCAAACCTGCTTTAGTGACCACCTGTCTACAAATACCACCTGTCTGCAAAGGCCGCATTTTTGGTTTCCCTTGAAATCGGTTTCTCATTGAAACATGTACTAAAGGAACCTGTCTACAAAAACCAATTTGTGTGTTTCCCTTGGGCGGTCGCTATAGACAGGTTTGACTGTACATTTAAAGACCTCACAACATATCATCTGACCTCTTCCCTTTTCAGGTCAGCGATAACGACCTGGTCAGCTGCCGATCTCAGGTCAGCGAGTGCCTGCGGATGTACTCTTCCCCGGTCTCTCGCATGCCCCACAGTCGCCTGACATGGATCGTCAGCACCAGAACAGCCAGGCAACTCAAGTTCAGTGCTCAGATTTCCTCAGACCTACCTCCTATACCTGAGAACAGGGTCCTCAATAGTTCCTTGTTGTCTGATGGGGATACTGATGAGTAAGTGATCTACAAGTGTAGAACTGGGAACTGTTTCACAAAGCCTTTGTTTTTCAATGACAAATTACAAAAATCAGTGACATATCTGCTGATAACTAATCAGAAGCTAGGATTTCAATAGCTTATATAAAAATTTGTAAAATGGGACCCTGCTAAATTGTATGAGATTTACTTAGGGATGGTTGCACACCTGGGTCTTGTCTTGAAAACAGTTCTGATTGGCCCTGATCAGTTACAAGTGCTACATTCATTCATAAACTTTCAATAATAATAATAATAAATCTGGATTTATTTATAGCGTAATACAAATACCGTCTCTAAGCCCTTTATAGATTTCCCATCTCTTCTGCTCAGAGTTGCATTTGATAGCATTGTCAAGTGATTGCAATTAATCACACATTTTTGTAAAAGTATAGGAACATAATTAGTAGTTTTCTATGTGTCTGATAACTTGGAAAAAATTGCAATTGTTGTACAAAAAGATGAATTTGCTATCTCAATGACGAGGTAGGTTGCTCAGATGTCATCTCAAATTAAAATTTGAAAAAAAAGAGTCATGCACACATGCACTGTTCAACAAACTGCACTAGTCTTTGTCCCATTTGGGAAATCTCAATATCTAGTATGCTCCCAGATATCAATAAAGATACATGTAGCAGTAGCCCTACTGTATTAATTTTTTGTATGTATTCTTTTAATTCAATATTTTTTTGGGGGGATAAAGCAATTTAATTGTAATAATAAATATATGTCCAGTTACATTCCCACATCCATTTTAGATAAGGGAATATCAGTGATTCAACAATCCAATCATTCACTTTCATTTTTCCTGCATTCATTCTTCAGGTCCTGTGAGATATTAAGTGATGTTCCAGACATCCAGTCTTCACCCTCTGAAGTTGAGGTGGACGATTCAGATGACGATAAGTCTTCCTCCGCAAGAACTCTTGTCCTAAACACTCACCAGCTTGCCTCTCTCTCCACGGATGATAGTATTTGTGTTGAGAGGAAGCTCTTTACGTATGAAGACGAGTCCTTAGCCTACTGTCCAACAAGAATCCACGGAGGAAGCTGACTGGCGGCCGACAAGGAATCATGATTCCTTGACAGAACTGAACTTGGTAAACCTTGGTCCAGGATGTTGATTGCTGGTAGATCAAACCAATCGTGGATGTGTTAGTATCAGGCAGATCAGAGCTGACCGTGGTCAGAAGGACCATTTCTGACCATGGACACTTCTCGGGCAGAAAACTGACCTTGATTGCAATGCTGGAGGCCGAACATTGTTGATCTTGATCACGTCGTCTCAGGCAAGACAATACTCTCAGTCCGCTGTCTACATTCTCTGGGAAAGGAGGGAGCCAACTCCGCATTTTTATGTTATAAATGAAATGTTACATCATTGTTGAAGTGTTATGAGTTATTGTGTTATTGACATTGATGCATTTACCTAAGAACTTGTGACAAGCAAAATTATGTGCCAAGATGGACATCTGATGTGAAAAGCAAGCCAGGATAAAACATTGGAAATGCAAACAGAACTGCCTCAAAGGCACTGTGTTGATCACCATTGGAATTGTGTTAAAGGACAGCTTTCCTGCATATTCGCTACGTGGCCAAAGTTGCCAGTGGAGGCATACGCTATGGATCTTGTGTAATAGAAGTGCTTTACCTCACGATGCAATGGTGCTTCCTGAAAAGTACTGTGCAAGCAGTGTAGCATAAATGTGTCTTAGAGGATGTAATGAGCACAGAAAGTAAAATGTAACAGGAAAAATGTGACAAAATTTGTTGTGTCAAACCAAAGTGCAAATGCAATTTTTGATGTTGAGAAACCCATGTGAACTTTATAGTTGTTAAGTTTAGATATATGATACAGTGTTCTAGAGAAGTGAACAGAAAGTACAGTTTGTAAAATAGAAGATAGTGAAGACCATTAAGTATCTATGTGCAAAATTATCCACAGTGAATACCTGCAGATTTGCAAAAAAAAATATCAGCGACTGAAAAATTGTCCATATCACGATGGAATAATAATGCTTAATCTCGTGTGCCAGAACTCAGAAGCTTTATATTTTGCCATGACAAGATTTAAGTGAGATGCCTATTTATGAATTCATGGTGGAATAGCAGATACAGAATTACTGATTTTCATTTGAATCCAATGGATAGAGAGATAGGTACATGTTGGTAGGGTTTACATGCAACTGACAAGAAGGTGCTACTACTACAAGTACATGCAGTGCATGCTGCAGGGTTTTGGGATAGTGCATTGTTAAATTCATATCATGTACAGCTGTCTGTCTTCTGTTATGCTAAGATCCCTTATATCTTATTCTTCTGGAGGTCTGGAATACTGTTAAGGTTTCTGTGTGCACCATGCCCATTTTTACATTTTTTAAAAGTTTTATGGTTAGACTAAAATATGGAAGGAAGGCTCAAGACATTTCGTATGAAAGCAATCGTGGTTGAGGTATGGCCTACCTATGCCAGACAATCGTCCAAGTCGTACTTTTTGTACTCTTTTGCAAACAGAAATCTAGTCTTACATTTTGCAGCTGCCCTGCTTTGTAAGGCAAATTTGCAGGAATCACCTATATTTAATTAAGAGGTACACTGTACATGTATGTGCAAACTACTCATTACTGCAGCAAAGTCTTCATGTATTATGGTTAAGTTATTTGGATGGTGCTATGACATTGCTGCATTGCAAGTTTGTGGGACTGATGTGTGCCAGATATCATATGCATAAACTTGTTCTCTGCAAATCTTCAGGGACTTGTTTTAATATTTTATTCAAACTGTATGTCTAACGTTATCTATTTGTATTTCACTGTATTCCTTTTGAATGTCTTCTTCAGTCCCATATATGTGTTTTGAGGTCAACATTGTGACATTGAGGCACATGATTTTTATGCAGTGGTGATAAAGATACTATATTTTTGTATTCATTCATGTATTGCTTTACTTTAAAAGTTCAAAGATATGTCTTCATATTACTACTTCATATTTGTAAATTTGTTTTCCTTTTTCTTTACTATTAAGTATCTGTCTATAGTTAAGTCATTAAGTTACTATTCAGGTACTTTTTGCCTACCTCAAAATGTTCTCTGGTTGTTCTAATACCTAATGCATTAGGTAGTTTCCAAACATTGAGAGGCTAAATTTATTTCACCCCACATCTTGAAAAGGTATAAGTGAAAATTTTGTTTCATACTCTTTATAGGCAGTTATGCAGATTTATTTATTTCCAATTCTTCATGGCAAAAGCAAAAGAAAACAAATCGTAAAGTTTCTGAAATGAACAGAAAAGCTATTCAAACATACAAAAGGCAAGCTTTCCAAAGAAGCATGATGACTAAGTGGTTTAGCAGTCACATCAGTGGTCTCATGATTGGAAGGTCCTAGGTTCAAACCCAAGTCAATGCGCTAGTGCCCTTACGCAAGCATTACTCCTCAATCATTACCATGGCCCTCAGAAGCTCATATAGGACTTGGAGCCATTTTGGTTTCATTTCTTGTCCATCCACAACCATCTTTTATTTGATTATTATCCACTGTACCTATTTTCTTCCAATGCTAAGATAAATAACATGTTTTGGGTTTGCTTTTCAATTTCAAGTACCGTATGCACTTTTTCAGTTCATTTTTTCCTTCTACAAAATCTTATGATTCCAACGACGACGTTGGAAAAAGACAAATGCGAGGCAAATTTTTGTCTTCATTGTAAACTGTTTATATCCCATTTGAGTTTATTACCTGCATCGTGAAGCTGGCCGATGGCAGCTTATAAAAACTTTATGTTATGTAACATAAAGAAATGATATGGTTCTTTTCTTTGTGATGATATGGTAAGGTTTTTTTTGTTTGTAGAATGTCTTTATGAGCCATTAGCAGTATTCAATTTTCTACATGTATTTTGTCATGACAATGTAGTGTAAGTGTGTCAACTGTCAAGTAGTAAATGTTCATGTGGCTATCTTATTTGAAAACCTTTGAAGGTATTATTTATCATTAATTGTTGGACTGATTCAGAATCGGTTTAGAGAAATGGAGGGCAGCGTGATAACCACAAAAATTAACCACTCAATTCAGTATTTTTAATGTTGTTAAATATAAGTTTCACCCCAAAATATTTTTGGCAATCTCAAATGGATAAACAAATGTGGGAGAAAGTTCTTATTTGTTGATTCCCCGCAGTGAATCCGAGACATACAATTTATTTTGTTGTTGAAAGAAGTACAAAACTGGCATATTTTGAATTGATTGTTTTCTATTGGAAACATATTGAGGGGGCCCAGTCACTCTCCAGAGTGCATATACATACTGTCTGTATGGAAACATGAAAATTATCCTAGATAATTAGGAAAAAGGAGCAGATGATAGAGAACTCATTTTGGATGACAGGTTTGACTGAACTTCTTATGCACACTGAATGGACTAATACCAGTTATTACAAGTTGCCCTTGTATATGTACTTGTGATTATTCATAATTCACTGCACAGCAATGACATAACAGAAGTATATCCATTGATATAGAGTGCAAGTCAGTTTGCAGCAAAATATTGCTTATTGGTCACCTTTGACTACTTTATTTCAACATTATTTTGTATAATCTGAGAAATCTTACTTTTCAAGTTGATTTGTATTGATCAAGAGTTTCATTGACAATACCCCGTGTCTATTTGAATATTGATACTACATGTATTATTATTATTATTATTTGTTTTTAATTTGAATATTTGCAATTGAAATTGCTAACCTGCTTTAAATGGATATATATGCAGATTATACTGCTACACGTCTTTAACAACCACCACAAATATACAAGTGTTTGATTTTATGTAGCTAGTAGCAAAACATGTAATAATACATTTATTTTGTTTAATCATTTAAGGAAGATTTATAGACTAATTTTTTTATAGACAAATTTATACCATGGTTTTATATTTTCATTTTGAAATAGGTTTGTGGAAATTGATGTCATATCATCTGGTCATTTTGCAATTGATGTAAAATGTTTCTATTTTCACCAACACATAAGTCGATGTCAATGAAATGTTAATATACTCTCAATACGAAAATGCATACTATTACGGAAAGAGTTTCTTTTAAAGCAACATACCCCACATTCAAACTACCTAAATACATTGTATAGCTGCACAAGAATCACATAGCTTTACAATATTATGACTGACTGTGGTATAAAGAAACGTGTAAAAAAACATTGTATTGTAACAAAAACTCTATAAAGAATCAGGGTCCCACTGTAGTCTGAACGCTATGTTAATACAAAAATTGTATAACTTGGCGGGGCTTTTCTTGGCCAGCTGTCGTTTTAATTGACCTCTTCCAAATTTGTTTCTTTACTTGATTTTGTTTCCAAGATTCTTTATATTTTTCTTTATACAAGTTTCGTATAAGTATTCTTTTATTCTGAACAGGCTATTACACTCATGAATCGCACATTGCCAACTCCTATGTTATTACTCTCAGTAACTGTATGGTGTCACCTATTTTATCCAAACTTTTTGTCCTTCAGAAGGACCTCTGATCTTGGACTTTCTTGTTAGCACGGAATGGGGTTTATATTTTACTAACAATAACATTGTAAACTTAAGTCCATTTGACATTCCATATACATATGAAATTCTTTCTTTTTCACCTTGATAATAACGGCAAGTGCCGTAGGGTTCATGAATTTAGCACAAGTCCCTTTTCATAACTTTTGAAGGTTAAAATGATGATTGGAAAATGGTATAATACATATTTTGACATTGGGTGGTATTCTCATAAGTTAAGCCGGGACTAAGTCCAGACTAAACAAGAATTTTAGTTCACACTTCTATGGAATGCTAGGTTTCATCTTCCTCCTTCAATATTCATGACAAAGATAATCTACCAAAGACTTTTTGGAAATTCAGTTCATACTCATATTATCTTTTTCTTCCCATTTCATTGCAAAATTAATTTTTTGGAGACTTTTTATTGAAGGATTAAAATAATCTGTACAGGATAAATGAGTTGACAACAGGCACTCCATAAAAGTGTGGACTAACTTAGTGCGCGCTAACTTAGTATGCGCTACCAGAATACCACCCATTGACTTTAACAGTCACACAAGGCATTTCCTTCAGTACTTTATGAACAACATATTTTTGTTTCGTTTTGTTTTTATGCTGGTATTATTTCTCTTGTTGTGCAAGAGATAATGGCTGATCAGCCTAAGTTTTGCAAAAACCAGTTGTGCAAATTCTTCCCTGTCCAAAATTAGACTTTATTGAGCTCTTTCAGCATAAATGGCTTCATTTTATGTGCTTTCTTATTTATCCTCATTTATTTTTCTATTTTTTATTCATTCAGTGTTTTCTCCAGTCTCTTCTTTCTCCACCCCCTCTCCTCTCTTTCTCTCTCTCTCTTTCTCTCTCTCTCTTTCTCTCTCTCTCTTCCTCCTATTTTCTTCTCGTTCTCTATTATATCTATATATCGATCTTTCTCTTTATTACCATCATTAGGTAGCATGACATAATTAGCATATACAGAAAATTAATGTATTTGACCTTCCAGTATTCTTATCATTGTGATGATGTACTTGTTTTGTGACCAAATGCGTCAACATTCTTTAGGAATAGAAAGTAATTAGAGTTAGTGTGTTGAAAGGTGTTCTTGTTTATTAAATAATAAAAACGAAAGACCAAAAAAAGAAAAAGACTTTGTTTTCTGTTATGTCAGGACTTGAGAAGGTGTGATGTGAGATGTATTTAAAGTAAAAGATTTGTTAATCATTGTCCCCCCCCCCCCCCCAAAAAAAAATGAATCTGGTTCTTCTTTCTTTTTTTTTGGGGGGGGGGGGGTCGGAAAGCTAACATTTTTTTTCAATTATTCTTTATATTATTATTGCAGAACAATATATGAAATATGAATGTTACGAGAAAGAGGAGTTGGAGGTAGAGAAAATGAAACCTATAAAAAGAGGAGGAAGAAGAAGATGGTGATGCAAGAGCCAATTAATGTCCGTACTACTTCACAAAAAATTAAAACAATTATCATTTTATGTCTTTTTGACGATAAGACAGTACCGACCTTATAACTAGAATATTAGAACGTAAGTATAAGATGACCAAAAGACATACAATTATGAAATAAGGGATAATACAGAAATACAAGATAATTCTATCAACAGTACAGGATATAAATAATATTGAAATATCAATATTCAAATTGTTCACGTACGAATTTTTTAATTATAAATGTACACTCACCAAAAACTATAACGAAAAAGTGGACATTATTTTTAATCAAGATTTTCAAACAAATATTTAACATGAATTAATCTTTTATATATTTTAAAATAAACAAATGTATTCTTTTTAAAGGTAATACAAAGTTTTGGGAAATTTTGAAAATTGGTTGGATAGTGATTCTTTACAATTTTGATATATTTGGATGCCCCTGTGGATGTATTATAAGCACTAGAAAATTTAGCCCCTAAAACACTACTGCTTTCGAGAAAAATTGAATATAAAAATTTACCGGTGCTCCCGGTAAATTTTGATAAATATCAAATAGCGCCTACGGCCGTACAATGGTAGCTGCTACCATGAAAATGTCAGATTATGTAGTTGTAATATATAATTTCCAAACGGGAAGAGCTAATCGGTTGATTTTAGTCAAGAAACGTTGACTCATAGCTTTATTAATATCTTGACCTTGAGAGGGAGCCATACAACATAAAGAGTTTATTATTTACAATTTCATAACTTTAGACTCAATTTCATGTGAGATGGTGTTATATTGAGGCCGTAAAAAAATGCGTTTCAAAAAAAAAAAAAAAAATAAAAAATAATGTGTCAAGAAGCGCCTCACTTGAAAAAGTAAAAATCTTTGAGTGAGGCGGTTTAAACTCTCATCTCCCTGGTTTTACCATACTCGTTTCCCCCCAATAGACTGTAGTGTTATGAAAACCAGGGGCGTAGACAACGGGGGGGGGGGGGATGAGGGGGATGCATCCCCCCCCCCACCTCACAAGGTGGGGGGATGGCATGTACAATCATCCCCCCCCCCAGGTTTTGGGGAATGATATTTGCTTACTTAATAAGTCATAATGATGATAATAATAGTAATAATAATAATAATGATAACAATTATAATATTAATAATAATAATAATTATGATGATGATAATAATAATCCTCATCATTATTGTAATTGTGTTTATTGTTATTAGCCGCATTCACACGGTGAAAGCCAATTCAGACGGTAAAAAAAAGAAAATCTTACAAGTATTTTGTGGTTATCTTGTGGTTTGGAAACCACAAGATAACCACAAGATTAAACAGGCACGGATCTACGGGGGGGGGGTTAGGGGGTTTAAACCCCCCTTGGGCGGCCCAAAAAACAAACAAAAAGAAAAAAGGAAAAAAAAAGAAGAAAAAAAAAAAAAAAAAAGAAAGAAAAAAGAACGCACGCTGGAGAGAAACCCTTTCAAGTGCAAATATTGTGAGAAGATATTCAACTCATCTGGTAACTTAACCAAACACATGATAACTCTGGATATAACTGTGTATTTAACTGTTACTTGATTTAAAAAGACGTTATCATGCACTGCTTTTTATGGTCTCCATTGTGTTAATAGATGCCAGGAAAACATCACTTACGGGGTTCAAATAAACACCCCCCAAAAAATCGGCTCGCCGCTTCGCGGCTCGTGGACGATGCTCCGCATCGTCATTATTGGTCACCCCCCCTTAGCAAAAAGCTAGATCCGCCCCTGAGTCATCCCCCCCCCCAGGTGTACGAACTTCTACGCCACTGATGAAAACCATTAGAAAAACGCAAAAATTTGGTTTTGATTTCCAACCATAAATATCTTGATTATCAGACAGGCGATCAGCTTGTAAAAGTCATGGGGCTCCAAGGTTTATAATTATCATTGCAGCATGAACTAAATCCAGGATTTTGTTTTCAGAATCTTAAACAAAATTACCGGATCCCTTTAAAAGACACCTACATTTATTTATTTGCTTTTAAATTGTCATTTGCTTGTCAGAAATTTGATTTTGTTTAATCCATTTTGTTCGTACTTGAGTGGGGCCCTACATCGCCAAAATTATTACTATTACTATTTTGTTGTTGTTTACCCCGCCCCCCCCCCCCCCCCCAACTCAGGGTTCGGAATGACCGCATGCGTGTTGCCAAAATGTCCGGTAAAGGGGTACTTTTCGTGCGACAAAGTCCGGCCCGAGAATTGTAAAAAAAGGGGTGTATTTGACTTTTCACCCGGAGATTTCTTTGAAAAGGGGGTGTTTTCCTTTTTTTCTCTCATCTCTTTGGACTCCTGAGAAGTTATTCCGAATTGAGGGGGGTACATTGAGCATTTTTCCTGGTTTAGGGGGGTCTCCAAGGCAGGAAAAGCCCGCGAAAAGCCCGCAAAAGGGGGGTTCGGAAATGTTGGCAGTCCTCAGATAGGGGGTGCTTTCAAAAAGAGGGAACGAGCATTATGCGTACCCTAAATAACACTGAGTGGGGGGGGGGGGGGCGGATTGTTTACAGAAAATTGTAAGTATCGAGCACGGGCCCCCCTCCCGAAAAACTTGATCCGCCCATGGTGGTTGGTGTGAGTAGGCATGTAAACAAAATGATTTGTTGAATAATGTGCATGCGTGAAGCAAAGATTGTGTCTCAGTGAACTCTGAAAAAAATAGCATGCCACAGTAACGCCGATGATCTTTCAATTAAGTTCCATTCAAAGAAATGAAACTTTGTCTTAAAGTACAAGTCATCTACAAAAATAACTTACTTTCAATAGAAGCAAAACAATCAGACAAACCAATTAAAAATGTTTGAGCAAAATCGGATTACTAATAAGAAAGTTATGGATTTTTGAAAAAGTATGTAAAACTATGGAACAATAAGAATCACTTTACACACATTGCTAATTTGGTTATCAGTTTGTGACGCCATGTTCTCACTATTTATCAATTGCTTTATATAGTTTAATCCCATTAATTTCCCTGTTTATCCCCCAAAACTGGATTCCCCCATGCATACCTTTGCCCAGGTTATAATGAGTGTCTCATATTGCGTGCATGACATTTCACAAAATCTTTTGTGAACTTTGAAGAATTGACACTTTTTTCTGAATATTGTATATTCATAATTATTGATTTTTTATATAAATAGTTATCGAAATTCACATTTTCTTGAACTGGAAAAATATTAGTGCATCCACACACATATTACTATCAATCAAACTTGGATGCTGGTGTGTAGAATTAAGATCCTTAGGGGAAAAATAATACATTTATACTGTTATCAATACAAAGAAAATAATTAGTGGATAGTGAGGACATGACGTCACAGACTGATGAGTGAGTTCCCAATTTGTCTAGTGCTTTTCATTGTTCCATAATGATAATTTTAAAAAAAAATCATAACTTTTTTGATTATTTATCCGATTTTGCTCAAACTTTTTTGGATTGGTTTGTCGGATTTTTCTGCTTCTATTGAAAGTAAGTTATTTTTTGAGTGGACTTGTCCTATACTTTGTCCCTTTTGCAGCATAATAACCAAATGGCCAAAATTAAACTGAGTTGCGCAGCCTAAAACGTACGACCATTCGGTTCAATGGTCTGAAAATCAGACTTTTACTTACTGGCTCTATAGCTCCTAAGTCGATTCGACAACTAATAGTCGTTGTTTTCCCACTTAAAGACATTGAAGTTATATTATCTTTCAGATGCCGTTGGAATTTAACCCTTTTTGGCCTGCAAATGTGACAACATGAAACTTGTATCTTTGTAACTTTAGATGTGACAACAAAAGCATCAAGTTGGCAGCGGCTTCCAGCGACAGAGCCCCCCCCCCCCTCCAGACTCACTAGACACACCTGGCATCTTACGGCCGTAAATTTGTCTTTTTATCTATTTTTGAATTTTCAATTAATTGTCAGACATTTCAAGCGCTCTTTGAATATTTATACAAAATTCTTGATGTACTTTGCTTTGAGTCCCTCATTATACCTTGCTTTATTAGTAGTTTCAATGTAATCAGATGGTTTAATATAAGTTTATGCAATAAATGAATGTCATAATATTGATTTGGACTTTTACTAGAGGGGATTTCTTGAACTTGGCAACAAATAATTCCCCATTTTGAAAATTGTAGAGAGAGGTATATTTAGCCTACATTATTTTTTGAGTCAAGAGTTTCCCGGTTCCTGAGGACTACATTAGGCGTAATGCTTTTTATTGTGGGTAGGCCTATATATCTCAGTACATTGTTTGATTGTTTCAAAACATTTTTTTAATGACGTGTAGTCCGTTAAATTGACAAAGTGACTCCCGCCAATAGACGAACCGACCAAGCCAAAGAAGTCAACAGAATCCTTTGTGCCTCGCCTCGCGAACGTAGACACTAGACAAACGATTTTTTGTTCCCAGGTACGGTACGCTAGGCCAGGGCAGCCGTTTTAAATTTGGCGCACTTCTACCAGCTGATTCATAATAGCGTCGTCTGCTCATAGTTTACGCCGCTTCGTCCGTGATATGAATTTATAAGTCAAATATTTCTCATTCATGAGCAGTGTATCTTATCGAAATTCTCATGTAGAAAGAGACCTATAATATAATATTTCCCCCAGTTATTCTGATAGCTAAAATTACTCGGTTATGCTAAAATGAAGGAATATACCGTTATAACAGAAAAGGAATTTCCGGGTTTGAGTCTCTGAACTATGACGTGACGTATACACTAAAATGTTGTCCTGATCCTCAACACAACCAATCAGCTGATTGATGATCATACGCTAATGGAGAAGTAAAAATGTAATCCTGATATTATAGAAGAAAACAAGTTTATGACTTGACAAGATAAGACATTTTGACAGGGAGTAAATATTTTCTACTGTATTCATAATCAATTTAAGTTATTACGTTCCAAAATTGCAAATAAATCTAATACATATTTGGTTGTGCGCGGAAGAGTTTGTCTTACAAGGACAAGTTATGCGGTCAGTAAACAATGTCAATCGTCGACCGTCGATTTGGTAAACAAGCGTCTCCCGTACGAAGCTATCGCTTGTCAATTTTTTGTACGGGATAGCATTTTATTTTTCTTCTTTTTAGACCCAATATTCTGTAAAATAATAAAAATGGAGGTAACTATGAACTAAATTGGCCCTCAGAGTCTTCACGGACGCTTATGGATCAGGGTGGTTCGTTTAGGCATCGCTTGTGCCGCTGTTTTTGGGAGAAGGTAAGTCACTGATTCTGTTCAAATTTTCCCCCGATGCCGGTAGGCCTTCAGTCCACTAGCTCTCCGTTGTGTTTTGGGCGGTTTCTGCAGTAACGCCCAACGGACCTCAGCTCAGAGTCAGATCAACGAAGTGTTCAAAACAAACGGCGACTCTCAAGTTGAAAGGAACAAACGGGAATTGTGTTGGAACATTTGTCTTGGAAATGGATGATTTTGTGTAATAATTATATGTAGGTATCAGTATTTTTGGGGTATTCTTTTTTCTTCGTAACGTCTAATTTTAACATAATTAATAATGACAATGTTAACCTTGTTCTTTGTTTTGTTATCTGTCTCTTTCAAAGTCTTTGTCATAATTTTTTTTGTTGTCCGGCCAGTCTCAAGATTCTCCTATCCTGACCCGAGTTACGTTTACAGTCGTCAGTAGATCTAGGCGGGTTGAAGAAAATAAAGTCAAGAGTTCAGTTTACTGAACCCATTATTACTTCTGTACCTATTTCTGTTGGCCTTCTGCCATTCTGGATTTTGAATTTGAGTTCACGTTTCACTTTCAGATATTGTTTGTTTTGCCATTTTAGGGTCTTTGTAACAAGTTACATTTGAAATTCTCTCGTGATGAAATAGACTTATTACTTCAACTTAGATCTAGACTAGATCTATCTAGTTCACTCTATATTATTAACTACAAATTGACAAATATTTTGCAACCCCAACTCCCACAAAAAAAATGACAGCTTAAGAATAAGATGGCTCATAGTCATAATCATACTAATATAGACCTATAGCAGTTGTTATTTAATTATTCGTATTTTATTTCACCTTATTTTTTTGTTACTAAACTATAGATTTAGAGTCTAGATCTAGTCTTTCTAGACTTTATTCTTGAAAAGTTAAACTCTTTAGTTTGCCAAATTATGGGTAACACTAACAGTAGATCAAGACTCTAAAAAGAAATATTACTAGGGTCTAAATCCTTTTTTTTCTTCAAAATATTACTTTTTTTCTTCAAATAGTCAAATATGTAGAAATCTGCCAATCCATTTAGATCAGTTACACTGTAGTTACTTAACGTTGTATCAGAAAATTTATAGTCATTTAATTAATTGGAATTTCTTAAGTTCACTTGCTTGTCTGTATCCGTTGTCTATTTATTTACTGCAAATAATTCATAAACTTTTCTAAATTATGAATTATACATCTTCAATAGTAAACTGTCACTGCCAGAAGTGGCCTTAGGGTTTGTCCGTAAAATACAATTTTTCTCTGTGGTCAAGGTTGATTTTCAGACTTTATATGGTTATAATAATGAAACTCCTGGTGAGTATTAATCGGGTGCATTCAAGGCCTCTTGATTGACAGGTTTAAGGTCAACTTCTGTTATTTTTTATTGTTCCCTTTTGCTTTGACATGCAATATATATTTTGCGTCACTGGATCGAGTGTGTTCCATTACTTTTTTCAGATCGGTTGATTAATTTCAATGTTCAATGAGATAAATTACATGATTTGTCTTGTGAAAATGGGCTACTTAGGCCTCAATCACCTGCAATGTACTCATCATCTAGATGCCTTAATTTTGGATTAAAAGTTGGAAAAGCAACCTTAACATGTGTGAAAATCTACTTCTTGCTGACAGAGAAGGATTATTTCCAATGTAGTGTATGAGATTGAATTTTATAATAATGAAAATAATAATAGCTCACATTTATAATGCCCTAATTAATACTTTGTTTCTAGGCGGGAATACTCCGGTCATCGGATTTTATCTTGAATTAGTTTTTGTATAAATCTAAATTTGAACTTCCTTTCACAAAGATCTAGCTGTAGCTGTTGTGTTTCAGCCTCAACCTGAAAATTGCATCAGCATGAACGTCACACACACACACCACACCAGATCTACAGTGATCATAATCTTGTTTGTGAAACACAGGCATTGAGCCATACAAGAAAGTGTTGATATTGGATTTCAAGTTGATTTTCTTTTGTATTTTCCCCCCATTTTTTGTCCAGGTTCCCTTGATAGCTGAGTGTTTTAAATCAGACTGGTGTCATCATGTTGGACATCCCTCCAATTAAACGTGTCCAGTTGAAGGAGCTAAACAGTCGCCTGTGTAGCGCCATCAACAAGGAACGCCAGTCATGGAAACCTCTCCTCATCAAGGACCCCCAGGATAGTGTAAGTCTAAGACTGAAATTACTCCCAAGAAGTCTAAAAAAATAGAGATTTGTTGAAAATTTGTGGTAAAAATATGAATCTGATTTGTTGCTTGAATTGAATAGTAACACCTGTAGTTAGTGGTGTTCTCTCATGCATAGACCAACTTGATTTGATTAAATTATCATTTATTCAAGGGTACAGAGTACTTTGTAATTCAGTTTGTTAACTGCTTTACATATTAACACGCTACTTTCTACATTTAAATAACAGTATCAATCACTGTAAAAGTAACCAAACTAATTTCACTAAGATACTGTGCCTACAGTGTACATGTATATTGAATATAACCGCTTAGTACATGTATATCTTTTTTGAGTACCTTCAGTTTTTTCATATTTTTAGAATTAAATAAAGCGATAACAATTCAGATCTGGGAGGGTCATCAAATAGGGTCAACTGGGAACAAGCTGTGTTTACTTTGGTCAGCTGTTCTCTTTGAGTAGGCCTTGTTTGCTCAAACCTGGGCACGTACATTTACATTGTATTTGGACAGGCAATAAAATGGGTTTAGACATCGAGATAAAGGATGCACCTGAGTGATTTCAAAACGTAAAGTGGGTACCAGTCTAAGCTTGTCTGTTGTTTGCAATACTTTGGGGCGGGGCTTTATATGGGACACGTACTGAAAGCTCTTTACAATGATAGGAATCTCTTGTACTAGGATCCCCCCCCCCCCCCCGAAAAAAAAATATATATTTACATAATAAAATATGAATTAAAGGAACAATGATGACCAGTATTCTTATACATGTAAATAAATCAGTGATTTATCAGAGCATTTTTATTACTATTTTGTAATTCTATTTTTATTGACATATATCTTATATTAATTTAATAAATATTTTTCTTTGTAGGAGACTGAGATAGGGCCCAATCAGAGAGATGAAATGGTGCAGTGGTTGTTGGAGTTGAACGTCAAGTTCCGCTTCTGTCCCGAGACATACATGCTGAGTGTTACCCTGCTGGATCAGTGCCTTATGGCTGTGAAGGTAAATAAAAAATATTATTTTTAAGAAATATGTTAAAGACCGTCAATACTACTGGGCCAGAAGGGATTAGACCACACAGCGAGGTGACTGACAGGTGGCTATCTCATTAACTCAGCTCTCAACTAACATGAGAAAAAGAGGATCATGGGGGACCAACAGACACCGATTGGGAAGTTTTCTATATAGAGGGAGCAAGTAGCTACAAGTAGGACAGTGGGGCTTTAATATGAGCGTTATCAACACTTGATTACATTGAAGTTATGTCTCTATTCCTTGTATTTTATAGAGACAGCATGAAATAGCTGTATTACAATTCAATCTTTAACCTGTTTGATAACTTTTTTTTTTACACTATAGAATAATGCACAAATTCCATAGTCATAGACTAGAGAGTAACATTATACATGTATCTCAGGCTAAGGATTTAATAAGTTAAAGTGAACAATGTTGACAACCATTTTTCCACTGGGGCAGACAAGGAAATAAATCATTCTGCACAACTTGATTTGGCATGAATTCAGAAATCGTCTAATAATTCTTGGCACAGTACATGAATATCAAATTCGAGTAGGATTACATGGAAGACAATTAAGCCGTGCTAAAATCACATCCTACAGTACTTTGTTTATTTGCCAATATACATGTACTGTTTTTCATAATAAACAATCTGTTTTCAAGGATGTGTGCTACATGTATCATACTTATGCTGGTTGCCTTCATGAATAAATCTGTAGAGGCTTACATGTATTTCTATTCTATTATTCATGGAAAAAATGCTTTTTATTTTTTGATAAATTTTATTTCTGTTATCAAGTAGACCTTCTTGTAGACTGTCATCCTTTAATACTAGGCCTTCAAAAAAAAAAATGCATTAAGTCCGACATCATTTTCTTGGTATCTGTTCAATAACGATGTTTGGATGTAACTCTAAATTGGGTTTGCCTTGGGATATAAGAAAAGGACCCTGTAGTGTTGACCCTGTCCATTTGTATTTGGAAGGCTGCGGTAATTGACGTGTTGCCTGATTTAGCCTCTGGTTTGTATTAGTCAGTCCATGTCCCTGTAAGTCAGTGCATCCCTCAGTAGGGCCTACATCCAGGTCACTATCACTGACAACAGGTTTCTTAAATTAGATGGATGTGACTCACGTATCTGGGGCAGTCATCACTGTGATAATAATCATCCTCAAATGTCCCCTCCAGCAGAGAGGAATGATAAATACAACTGTAGGGGTAGCTGCTGTCGGGTAGGGATGCTACATGTAGGCCTATGTAAATACATCGGCCTCAATCCATGTTGTATATCATATGTAGGCCTACATACTGAACATGTACAGTATACTTTCAGTGTTTTTAGTTAGAATACATCTTGTGTGTATTGTTCCAATGTAATAGATGTCTAACCACACTTAAAGGGACATTTAGTACCTGTAGATGCACATGTATGTACATTATTATGTTGTATTTTCTTCTTTTTCTTCTTCCTCTTCTTCTTCTTCTTCTGGATGATTCATATCATGTTGTCTTCACATGTAGATATTAATCAGACACAGACAGTCGATGCGTGTACAACATACATTATTGACTTGTACATACATTGTACATGTACATTACATCACCAACAAGTCAGTACATGAAATGAAAGCCAAAAGGGAACTGAGACACATTGAACTTACCGTATTGAACTTACCGTATTGAACTTAGTGGCCCCCCAAGATCTAAAATTCACTGAACTATGAGATCATTGAGATGGCCTTGTGTTAGTGTGCATAGTGCTGTTTTACCCATTGTGAAGTGAACTATTGTTATTTCTTAGACAATTGACATCCTTGGGTGGGGTTCAGTCAAATTGGGTACCGGTATTTTTGGAAACCAGCCAGTTAAATTATGTACGTCACTTCTCCCTTTGGATTCAAGCTTCCTTGTTTTGCATGTTACAAATTATACCTATAATTGGGGTATTTCCCCAAGTAATTTCACATTTTGGTTTGTACATGTTGTCGTACATCTAAAATTGTGGGACTTTACTGGCTGCAAATATGTGAGAAAACAATTAATTATAATCATAGTATCATACCAAAGTCAGGGTTGCCAATTGCTTCCTTGCTATAGTTAACAAATGTACCACATCGCATCCGAACCTATGAAACTCTACCAGACAGGAAATGGAAAAATCAATAAATTGTACAGCTGAGTGTTAATGGCAGTCAAAAGTACAATTCACTGTGCAAAGTGTGAAATATAATTTTACATGTAGTGTTATTTATGATTTAAAAATTAGTAAATCAATACCTGGTTGATGGGAACACAATTTCATATCCAACATCTGTGCGTGATGTTCATGTTAAACAGACCGAAATTTGTAGTTGAAAAATGAATTTTAATTATAGTCACCACTTTAAAAAAAATTGTAAACTATTACCCCAGATTTGTTACATGTATTTACCGGTACACTTATTGTACTACAAATTAGATATACTCTTTGAATTTGCAAAAAATTATAATTTGTAGTATATGAAAATCCATATCATCAGATACTGGGAGTTATCCTGTATTATATACCTCACTTAAGTAATCCAGCAATCTGATTGGTCAAAATTGCATTCATAAACTTTAACTGTTCCTGTAAAAACAGACCTATTTTCCCAATAACCGTGGTTATTGGGAAAATAGGTCAGTCTCCATGGTTACCCCATAGGTTTACATGTTAAAAAATGGTTTGAGCGATCGAGGATACCGTACGTGTGCGAAGAATTGGTCGGTAATTTCAATACAATTGAATCTCGATCGATCTTACCGACAATTTTATCTTGCATTGTTGACATGAAGACGAAAATAAACTTCCAAAAACAAAAAAACAACATCTGCCGATAGATCTTGATCTAAGTTCGTGCCAATATGCATTGCAAAATTAAAAGAAGGGCCCGTTTAATCGAGCAGCCGCGAAGCATCCACCACTCGAAGCCGTTTTCAATCCATTTTAATCTATATATTAGAAAAAACTGCAAAGTATGTTAACAAAGCACGATGGCTGGGCGGTATAAGGCGCTGACTTTAGTGACATCTCCTTTTGTACGCAAGAGATCGAATCCCATCTTCGACAAAAGTTTTTTTATTTTTTATTTTTTATTCTATTTTTTTTTGGCATATAAAAGTATTAATGACTGCTTTAATATTCGAGAAATAGTTGTTTTTATACGCTCTCGGGAAGGTTACAATCGGGCTATTGCCCTCGGCACGCCTCGGGGCAATAGCACAATTCTAACCTTCCCTTGAGCGTATAAAAACAACTATTTCTCTCAAAGCAGTCATTAATACTATACTATCATTTAGCTCTTTGAAGCTGCTATAAAAAATATGAAGAAAAAAAAAATGTAGCACAAATAGGAAGGATGGTAATATACTGCGGCTTAACTGCCTAACAAAGTCTTTGGTAAACTGTATGTCCAGATTGTAAAATAACCTTTATACCCTTTGTTTTCATTCAGATTATTGCATCATGCATGTAAATTACATATTATAATTTTTATTACATAATTACATTTACTAGTAGTATTATTTATAACCCAAGTGTGTACCCCAAGTCAGTCCCCTTATATTAAATTATACATGTCAAAGTTTTCATCATTAACATCACACTTTAGATGTACATGCAATTGTTTGAATTTGAATTTCAATAGATTGATACGTTGATTGAGGGCCTACACATAGTTTATTGAAACCTGTCAATTATGTCATGACATGACAAGACATATATAATTTATAGCTCAGTGATATAAGCTACAGTTATTTAAATGAGGTAAACATGTTATAAGCTGCAATAGAGGTTTGTTTATGACCTTTGTCCTTATATGGCTATCAAGGTATTCAATCAGATTGTTTGCTACATAACTGTCCTAATGTGTCATAACTGTTATTCCCTTCCCTTCCCTTCCCTTCTCATTTGAGTCACAAGCCACAAAAATGTGGGATTGTGTGCTTTTGGTCAGAAGTCTATAATCCTTCCTGTATAGCAACGTGAGTGACGTAACTCACATGAAATATTGGAAATAAACACTGTAACTTACATTTACATCATATTGCATCATACAGGTACCATAAACTAGATTTCTCAATTTTAACTTGTATGGATAAATAGAGCCTATAGAGGAGAAATTTGACTTTTGGAGAATAGTTTGTTGACCCTGACCCACTCACCTGTTGGCTCAAGTTACCAACTCAATATACTGGAACAGTCTGGAATGATCTATACTGTTCTACGGCATCTGCTCACTGGACTCTATAGCTCTGTGTTGAATGTAATGCTGACTTTTATAGTGTACCAGTATATTTACAGCTGTGTATGTGTGTGTGCCCCTTAGGCCTTACACACTTCTTTGTAAATTATCTATATTGATCTTTTATTCAAAGGCTTGAATATTTTGAAAGGGCATTAATATATTTGTACTTGGATCTTAGCTCAACTGATAAAAATAGCTTATTTGCAAATATAAGAAACCTGTCAAAAGCCTTTTAACCTGCTAAACTGTATATTAGCACAATACAAGCTAGCTATTAGCCTTCAAATTCAGAATCATTCTAGAAACACTCTAAAAGCATAAAATGTAATGCCCATTTATTATCAACTAATTTGTTCAGTATAAAGAGGTTAATTGCTTACACATGTTCACGTCTCATGCAATTAAATGATTGCACACTCCACGTAATAAGCAGCTGCACCTGATGGGCTTTGCCATTTATCAGTAAGGAGGCCCACATGTACGTATACATGTACCGGTATGTCAAACTTACATGTAGGCCTAATAGATGCAAAATGTGCAATTCCTTACCTTGCACCTCTTTGATATGAATTGTAACATTGAAATTATTCATAAGAGTAGCTTATATACAAATGTATCTAACCTTGAGAATTTAAGATGAAGAAATATCCCCCAAAAGCTCTACTAAAATTTGGGATATTGACCAAAAAGAAATAAAAAATGAGAGAATTATAACATGCTAGTCCAAAGGAAATTAGATGGAAATTCTGAACAGATGATAAATTTTTTTTTCCTGTACAAACTATGAACATATGGGGTCTCCAACTTCTCCAAGCAGACTACACGTAACATTAGAATTTAGAAGGCCTACACAAGATGATTGTTTCATACACATTGTAACAAGACAATTAATTATCAAGAATAACCTACAGTTCTACATACAGTGTATATACCCTTTATTGTTCAAAGAAAAAAAAAATCTGAATGCTCTGACATATAGCGCCCTTACATGTATGACATACATTCACAGGTAACCTTGACGTTTTGGGGAATGCGAAATCTGATCTGACAGGTGTCAAAAATATGTTTAAACAGAGTTTCATAGACCAGTCACACATTGGGTACATGCATCATGCATGTGTAGCTGTTGTATGTAATAAGGCCTGTTTAGACTGATGTGGACGTGATCATGCAAGTGCCATGTCATGCACTACCATGTCATGCACTACCACTGCTGATCAGTTGTGTCTAGTCTGGGACTCTCTGGGTGTATTGAATTGACACATGAATACTGTGTATTGTTGCTACCAGTATTTATACAGAACTACACTGTATGAAGGTGATATTCAGAATGAGATCTCATTGTACGTGATTCCTTTCAAGGTGATACAGCTTTATCTAGAGGTCTTACTTACCTGTTGTTCAGACTGGCAAGTCAACACAGAGCCTGGGAATGTCTATGTACAGTACTAGCATTATAGCCTACGTTGCATAACTTGTACTCAATTGGAATAAAATAGACCGCTCGAAGCAGCAGATATATACTCTTCATGTATGCATGTACATGTACATTATTTTATTGGAATGAAAAGCCTGATTTACAAAAATTAAAGACTGTTACTTAAGTGTTAAATAGTGATTCATTTTTGTCGTTGGTCCACAATACCTGTGTAGCCAATGCTAAATTTTTCAAAGGTATATTGAAATAAAAAATAAAAATTCTGTACTTATAACATGTACATTAACAGGTTTGATTATATTGATCAGACAAAGGAAAGTTCAGAAAATTTCTAAATATTACTTTACAAGGCAGTGAGGGCACCTTTTTTTTTTTGACAGTACATGATAGAAAAACACAAACTTCCATAAAAGATAGTCCAGGGTAATGTACATGTATACCTGTACATGTATGTAATGAAATGCATGGTACATTTACAGTCTTATGCAATTTTTTATTAACTTCATCCTGTTTTGATCTTATGAATTACATTCAATTCTGTCTGATCAGATATACTGTATAATACTTCAACTTGCAATACAGTAATACATTTCAAATGTATTGGATTAGTATCTCAGATGGATTGGCAAAACTGTGCCAAACTAATCTATTAAATCCTAATGGAGGGAACATAATCCTTATATTAAGTTGATTCTGGGGTTCCCTTAACTGCGATAAATTACATGATCCGTCTAATAATGCACTGTATTTAGAAGAGTAGGAGATTCGAGATTATCATACTTCCTCTTCTCATCAGTAAAGCGAGAAGTCGGGGCTAAATATAAGCGGGGCATATGAGTGAACTTTGGATTCTAATCATATCCGACAGATTTGAAGGGTGAGGAAGGTGGGAAAATTCAGCTGTTTGGTCATGTGACCCTTTTTGATTGAATCAGTCTTGTTTACTTGTCATCAGATCACGTGAAATGTCTCATACTTAGTACGTCCACAAAATTGTATGACACGACTTTACTAGGGAGGTGGGAGGGGCCTCCCTGACATTACAGAATAGTCCTACCTGTACATTTAGTTAGCTTTCCTGAATATTTGAAACTACAGTATGATATTTGTACTGTCCAGTGTCCACCTCCCCATCTCGCTCCTTCCCATTGACCCTCCCCTCTCCTCCCCACTTTCCCCTCCCCCTTTCCCCCCTTCCCCCCCTTTCCCCCCTTTCCCCCCTTTCACCCTCTCCTTTCTTCTTTCCCCTTCCCACACCCCCTTGCTTGAGCTGATTGTTAGGAGCCAATTTTTTTGCATGTACTTTACTAGATCAGTTAGATGACTACATATTTATAGGCAAGGTCACAACTATCAATTTACTAATCGTCTCAAGAAAGGAGCTGTCTTTGATCTACATATTGATCTAGATTGAAGAGGCCTTGGAGATAACATAGTTACCCACAAATCTGACCCCATAACCCCTCTTGGCGTCATGTTCTGTGGTCGTACAAGTACATTGTGTGTAGTTGGGGGAAAGTTGGCTCTCTCTAAAAAAATATAAACACAATTGTACATTCAGATCCATCCTGAAATTCCAAAACAAATGCGAGTCCCAGTACAGTAATTTCACCCATTTGGTCTCCTTGGCTAAGAGTCTGAGACTAAAATAGAAGATGTTCTAATGCCTGAGTGAAAATTGTACTTTCCTGGTGGGTTACACAAAAATGTACAATTGTAAATCTCCCATTTCCCCCTTTTGTAGAGATTTGTGCAAGTGTTATTAACATTTACTTCACCTGTGTACCTGCTGCTTTACAAGCAAAATTATTAAATTGCTCATCAACAACCACTGTATAACTTTCATTCCAAATTTCCAACTGAGTGGTTGAACATCACAAGTCTGAAGGTATTGTATTACTTATATTGCACAAGTATCTTTGCTTATGTGAAATGAATATATGGTTCTGAAGGAATACCTTGTTGATGCAACAGTTTGAAATAAACTGTTTAATTTTCTTTGTATTTTTGCTACAGGCAAGGCCCAAGTACCTGCGTTGCATCACCATCACATGCTTCTTCTTGGCTGCTAAGATGAAAGAAGAAGATGAGGTAATTACTTAAAATCTGATTGATATCATCTTATCAGTATACCATCAAGGTTATGTAGTTTCATGTCCATTTTATTAGGTTGGTTATTTATTTTAGAATAAATATTTTGTGATGGAAGAAACATAAACATTATTAAAAAACTTCTAGTTTCGAGCAAATGGATATTGACACAAACTATTAGAGATAGCTTTCAAAACAGGAACTTGAAAAACTTGTTTGGTAATTAGGACAAGCTGGGAATCATGCAGCCAAACTGAAAATATCAGGAAGTTTATCAGGAAGGACTTATTTCCTAATAACTTCCAGGTAATTTGTACAGTGAGTTTCCCCTGCTGATACAAGTTCCTGATTTTGTGATTATCTTCCCATATTTTAGTTTTTAAGTATTTGATCACACTGGCAAAACTGAGGTGAATCTACTTCAAGGAAGCAACTTTCTGTAGTTCTAGTAGGAAGTTTCTCTTCCAGGAAGTTTTGAGGAAGTTCGTAGATTGTGTCGTCATTGGGAAACTTATGAGCTGCAAAATTCCTAGAAATTTCTACCAGCATAACTTCACTAATCATGTCCATGGAGACATCATGTTCATGAAATGGATATTTTATTTGTAATATGCATGTACATCTGTATGAATTCAAGAAATATACGAATGGATGCAAAATTCCTAGAAATTTCTACCATCATAACTTCATCAATCATGGCTATGAAGACATGTTTATGAAATGTAAAACTTATTTGTAATATACATGTACATGTACACATGTATATACCAATGAATACAATGCAGTGAATGCACTTTTTCAGCTTCTTACAATAACATGCAGTTATTTCATAAACAAACACAGAGCCAGCTTGACAACAGTCTGATTCCTGTAGATAACAAACAGTATCATGACCTTCATCCAGTATTGTTTCAAACCTTATCTGTACTTATAAGTAAAAGGAAGGTCAAGTTAGTATATCAACCATCAAGTTGGGAATAGATAAACATGGTTACGTGATACAGGATGAACCTGGAATATCAATACTCAAATGGTAAATTAGCCTGATGTAGATTAGATATTTGTTTGATAAATATCAGTTTGTTTTTAAAAAACAAATGGTTTTTATGAAGATTAAAGAGGACATTTATCTTGATCAGTGTTAGAAACTATGCAATGTTGTTGTTGATAGAAAACTGATCCAAATTGTTTTGAAAATCAAAATGATCCCAAGTGCAGGTGCATTTTTTTCCTGTTAGAGATGAAATTTACAGGTAATTAAGGCACTTTTGTTTTGTGTTTTGGTTTGTGTACAGAACTTAACCAGATATTGAAAGGGGCTTTTAATTCTATCACTTTTGCTTTTACCTAAATATCAGTTTGTACCTTAAAAGACCCAGCCCTTAGGATTGTTGTGTAGCTGTTAAAAGGTATACATTTCCCATGACGTGAAAAGAGTTATCACTAACATGTATTATTTTACATGTATTCCTCTAACCTTGGTTTAATTCTGTCATTTTCTCTTCATTTTTAGATGGTCCCTGCAACTCAGGACTTTGTCCGTGACAGTCAGTGTGGCTGTACTGTGAGTGAAGTGCTTCGCATGGAACGTGTCGTGCTCGACAAACTCAAGTGGGAGCTGAACTTCGTTAACGGCTTGGACTTCCTACAGATTGTAAGTTTATTTCTTACCCTTTATTCCATTTCAGCTTTCTCGCAGAGTATAAATATAGAATTTCATATTAATGATTGTACATGTAGTTTTCATGGTCACCTGGAAGGAATTTTAACATGGCATGGTTACCATGGTTGCTTGGAGATGTACATGTACATCGTATCAGTGAGAAAAAAACAACACAACAAACACATTTGCATGAAGAATGATGAACTTTGAAAGCCCTAAAAGAACAACCTAGAAGTAAAATGTGGTCAAGTACATCAGTCTTGCAGTAAAAATACCTCACTTTTACTCTAGCAAATCCAGAAAGAGCTCTTACAAAAAATATATCTCTTTACAGAGAGGTTTGATAATGCTTAGCCCAACTGTGGAAATCACTCTGTCTCATCCTGTCTATATTCAGTTCAGTTTCAGTTTCGGTTTATTTTTATATTTTGCATGTTTTATGATACATTATTACATTTGGCATGTTACGTTTTGTTGTTTATGTGGTATTTTATACGAACAAAGAGAAAGCAATGCTTGTAGGTCATAGGCTCTGGAAGTTATAACATTGATATACATGTAGTCTTGTTTATAATAAATAACGTAACAGGATCAAATTTGAACTTGTTATAAGGAATACCTGGTAGGTAAACATTGGTCATATAAGTATATGACCAATTTTAACCCATTCCTTGGAATACTTGTGTTAGATTATCACCATCTGTAGGCAATGGCAGTTCACATTGGAGCGTACTAAAATTTTAAAGTCCATTCCCTTGTGTTCAATCTCTTATCATGTCTTATATCAGAATAAGATACAGAAAAGAACACATCTTTATACCTGTTCTTTTTCTCTCCCCGTTAGTTCCATGCTTTGTTGATGACCCAACGCCCAACCCTGCTGGAAGACCTGCACCATATGACCCCCTCCCGTCACCTCTCCATGCTGACCGGCCGGCTGAGCCAGTGCATGACCAACCATCAGCTGGCTGCATGCCGGGGCTCCACCCTTGCCCTGGCCATGCTCAGCCTGGAACTGGAGGTGCTGGCTGAGGACTGGTTGCCCCTTACTATTGTGCTGCAGCGCATGGTTGGGGTGAGTACTGCACATTTGCCACTCTCAACCCAGGTTTATAAATGGTGCCTGGTAGAAAGTATTGTAGTTTCTTGATTGCTTGTAGCACCGTCTGCCAGCTTGTCTAGTAAAACCAACGTAATAGAATTTTAGCATCCCTCGGGACAGGTTTGTGTGCATTATAAATGTAGCTATTGTTCTTATCAGATCTATTGTAGCATTCCGTTACCTTCGAATATAGACGTGGTAAGGAGAATATTCACTCAGGCAGTGAATGATCTATTTCATTGCATAAATCCCCATTTAATACCTTTTCCAGACAATTGACAAAGGTTTGTCTAATCCACTCCACTCTATGCTTGGGAGAAATTGGAAGATATTTTACTAGATCAATCATTCAGAACCTTGATACAGTATGCTTTATTTGCTAAGATTGATTTAAGTTATCAGTTTGCTTAAAACTTTCATGAGCCATGAAAATCGAAAAACGATTGTGAAAGATCAGCATTCCTTACATATTTACTTACATGTATTTTGTAAGATTCTGCCGTGTTTAATTTTTGTCTTGCAAAATAATTCATGTCTATTTTGTCTTTGCTTCTTTTACACCATGTAGGTTGACAACCAGTGGCTGATTCGTAGCCGAGAGCTGATTACTTACACGCTCTTTGGTCACTCGGCTTCCCATCGCATGCCCAGCACGCGTCCCATCTCGCCCCCTAACCCCGTCTCACCCCCAGTGGTCAACTCCCAGAAAGCGACCCCCAACAAGGCCAAGCGCAAGAAAAGCGAGATCCATGAGAATGTGTACGGCAACGTGAAGCGGCTCATTGACAAGGGAAAGTGCGACATGACCCTGCCGACATGTCCGATCCCGGCCATCTCCGCCCAGGGGGGCAAGACCACCGTCACGCCCCCTGGATCCTGCGGGAAGGAGGTGCGCCAGCAGGACGGGGACGAGAGTCTCCCGTCCTCCCACCCCCCACTGACTTCCATTCCAGTCACTTAAGGGTTTCACCTTTGCAAAGCGATAGCTTCACCTGCGTTTTAGTTGTGAAATGTCAGCCCAGAAGATATGTTTCTTTTGTAGGTCTTGTTCACCATGGCATGTTTGTAATGTTATGTAACCAAAATCAAAAGAAACATTGTGTAGATATCTTGTTTTTTGATGTATGTACAAATTTAACTAATATATTGAGAAGAAAAAAAATGTATATGTGTTCTTACCCTTGATGTTAAGCCTACGTTAGGGGTAGACTTCTTTTGTAAGAACAGTGCCTAGACCTTGTTTACTTAGTGTACTGATTTGGGTTTGATGTATATATTTTTAACAGATTATTAAAAATATTTCTCTGACATGTATAGCAAAAATAAAGAAAATGAGTGCTGTGAAACGAAAAGGCACTTGCTTTTACCACATGGCTGCAGATCAGAGACAAATTTTACATATAACTGCTGCAAATCCGTGCTTCAGCATGGTTTATCATTGCACTTCTTGTTTTGTTTTACTTTATTGTAGTACAAACCACCTCACACAACAGCTGTTGCCCAAGGCCCTGTCTCTGTCTCAAAGAGTTGTGATTGATCCAAATTTATTTAAAGTTCATCAATCTTAGATGCAAGCTGACCATCACCCATGAAACGAGGTCAGGTTGTGATCTATTTGGATCATTTGCAACACTCTAAGATGACAGGGTCCTGATTTTATTAACTTTATTAAATCTTTTTGGATAAGATGTTACGGGGTGTACTTTATTGTTGCCTAATAATGTGCTGAAATAGCCACCAAAGGGATGAGAGCCATGTGCCAACTATATTTCTCACTGCATGCTTGCAGTTTGAATGTATATGTGTCTTACCGATAAGATTGTATTCCATGATGATACTTGTAATAATATCACACTGACAGTATTTTTCTCATATCTCTTGAAATTTGCTTATTTGGTATGTTGTGATCTCAAAAGATTTGTGTACAATGGACACAAAGTCAACCTCCGTTTGGACATGGACCCTTTTGTGCTTATGGAGTCTGAGCTTTAAAATTCTAGCTAGATGTTCATATGTAGGACCGGAGAACACAACTTACCTCTTTGTATCGGCATAGATGCATACCTTGCATAGCAGGGTCAAATACCTTGATGTATCAAATTATTAAAATTACAAAAATGTTTTCCAATAATATTTGATACAGGTGAAATTGAAAGGTATGACAGCTAAAGCTACCATGCAAAAAGGAGAACTCGATCTCTAGGAGAAATGAAAGATGGTTAAGCAAGCTTTAAACTTATCAGGGATTTTGCATTCTCACATGGTACAAAATTGTGTATTGCTTTCTCTGTTGCTGCTAAAGGAGCGATACATTGTACCTATATTTCACTCCTATATTCATCACGGCAAATTTATACTCCAAACTTGAGACACGATTTGTAGCGTAGACCGCAGCCAAAATTTTGTCTATTATTGATCACTTGTGTTCATCTTGCACTTCTGCTGTTTTGTAATTCTTGTGCTATTAATTTCAAATGTGTTTTCTGTTTGTGGTGCTGCTCAAAATTGTAATCGATCTAGATATTCTTAAAGTGAAGGTTACGATTTTTATAATCTATCTGTACAAACAAAATGAAGGGTGAAAGTATCTTGTTGTATAGGCATATTATGTATGATGTATAAATGTAAAAAAGCAAAAGAAAAAAAATCTTAAAATGTTATTTATTGTGTGTATGGCCATTAAGATGTACTATGTACATGTTTTCTGTACAATCTGGAAAGGACATGGGAAAGAATTACTACTTCCCACCCTCCAACAAGTTAATGCCAAACATATATTGAAAAAAAAAATATTAAAAACTATAGGTTGTAAAAAAGTATGCAAAAAAAAGTCTTTATATTTCCTTGCCATTCTTATGATAATAAAGCTTATGTGTATATAGTTTTGTATCATTTAGCATAGGGTAAAGCATATATGAGTGAGAAATAGAAAAGTAAATCTGTAATATGGTCAAGGATCTGGACCTATGTATGTCATTGAAGTTATTCTAGAAAACCTGTAAGTTGAAAAGAGGGGAATAAGAGGAGGGAAAATGTATGATTTATTGAGTAACGTAATGATCATAATGGTCTTTCTATATCACTTGTATGTGTAGGCAGGACTTTCTGCCCATGTCTCAGACACTGCAAATTGTATGATAGGCAGAAAAAACAGAGGACCTCATTTTTTCTTAAATTTCATCTGACAGTATTCCCAGATTGTATAACGCCTTAATGCAATCGGAGGACTCTGAACGCAGTGGCTGTAGCATTTCCTTTTAAAATAAGTTTTGTTGTGTCTTTGTTGTGTTTTATTGCAATAGATATATATATTTTTATATTGTGAGTTGAGCTTTTCATTCAACGCCATGACTAAGGCCCGATTCTTTTTCTTCTGCCCACATTTATCAAGATCAACATTATTTTAAAGTTGTTTTATTACTTTTTCCAGTTGATTTGTGGTGGGATTAGGAAAGAAAGGGGGTTTTAAAGTTGAAAATGCATTTTCTTTAAGTCTCATTGCCAGCATGAAAGATACATTTCATACAAGGCAGATGAAGAAACAACATTGACCAATGATGTCAATTGTAATATGCATTAATGTTTCATTTATTTATATCTTATCTTGGTTTTGTTTGAGCACAGAAGTACATCGATCTATCCTCTCTACTGACATGGTGGTTTTTAAAAAGTTTTATTTAAATTGATTAATTGACCAAGTGTCCAATGTTAACAATCAGAGGGATACTTTGGGTGAATCATGGTTTGCCAATGCCATGTATTTTAAGTTTCAACTCAAGAAATGTGTTTAATATATGTATTGATTTAATTATTTATTTACACAATAAGTAGGCTCTGTGTATTCAAACTGTTGGTGCAGTAGGCTAAACAAATTTATTGTAAAGTGAAAGAGATACCGTTGAATATTTCCGTTTATAGAGTTTAGATAATACTGAGTAACTATTTGTTTTAGAATTAGTTGGTTTTGTGTAGGTTAACTTGTAAATCTAGTACAGATATATATTTTGTTGTACCAGCTCTCTTCTGGGCTATTATTTGGTATCATTATAATTATAATTTTTGTAAAATGTTGAAAAAGTTCCAAGAATTGCACACTTTCAATACAGACCAAGAGGTATGCCTTTTGTTATTCAAGGTATATTCAATTCATGGAAGCAACTATCATTCTTATGACACAGAATTTTATTCATAGTGTACTGAAATGCACGAATGTTAAATGAATAATTCAGAATTTTGTTTATAATGAATGTTTTTAATTGTCATACATGTTTTACATTTTGTGGAGGTACCGTATCTGTTGATTTCTGTTTAAAAAATGACGTACACGTACCACACCCAAGTCATCCATTTCATATAACAGGATCCTTGGATGGGGATGAAGATACGGGAAGTGAAATATCCTGTGCGTTGTAAAAGAAAAGAATTCTTGGAATCAGGGCATATAATTTTGTGCAGTCATTTAAAGGAGACCAAAATGAAATGACATTCAATGCATGCACAGAACATCAATTTAAGCATTTGATCCGCCAGATATTTATTCAATGTCTATTATTTACAATATTTTTCCAGTTTTTGTTGTGATCTGATAATATTCTCTTTTTCTTTCACTATATATTGATTATACATCTTTAACCAACACTTGCTATGATATTTCATTCAGAAGAGGATATTTTATGGCGAAACATCTGATTAAAGCCTCAACATTGTGTTGTATGAAAAATACTTATTATGTTTATTAGAGTATTTTTGTTTCATCTTTTTTGGTACTGAGTTTACATGGAAATGAATGAAAAGAGAAAAACTTGTGTGTACGGAAGAGAAAAAGGATAGACAGAGATAGAGTGCGAGGGAGAAAAAGGGAGAGGAAAAAGAGTTAGAAATCAAGTCAGAAATAGAATATAAATCAAAATAATTAAAAACAGGCGATTAGACGAAGAAGAGTGGATATGGAGAGGAAAAAGGTGACCTTGAGAGAGAAAGAGGAGGATTCATATGAAGAGGACCTAAAGCCGTCGGCCGTCTGGTTGCTTACTTCCAAGCATTTATGCTTTCTTAGCAGTCTGGTAAAACAGGGAGGTGAGACTTTATAACCACCACCACCACCAATATAATTAATATTGGATCAATATACTTTGAAGTTGACTATAGAAAATAACCGTATGGAAAAGAAGATAAAGAACAAGAAGAAAGATCGAAAGAAAGAAAGTAGGAGAGAGAGAAAGAGAGGGTAAGACAGGCACATATAAGAGAGAGAAAGAAAGAAAGAGAGAAAAAGAAAGAAAAAGGAAGGAAGAAAGGAGGGAGGAAACAACAACAAACTCTTGCTTTGACAGCGAAGAATACTCGGACTTGGCCATTCGCTGGAACAGAAACGTCATCCCTCAGAGTCGATGAAAGTGGTTAGGCGCATGTAAGAAGAAGCCTATCAGTTTATACCTATGACTAGATTGGATTTAGCCTTGCAAAAAAAAAAAAAAAAAAAAAAAAATGGCACATGATCTCCTGTTTCGTTCGCCTATAACAGGCTCAGATTTTTGGCCGAATAGCCCATCTCATTTAATATCCCAAGCCTCACAATCTATATGGTTGCATATTACAGTTGGTAGGAACAGGAAGTTCTATTCCAGGTCCCTGGTAGGAAGAAAGAAAAAAAAGAGAACATGTAAATATCAAATTTGAAATAGATTTATACCTCATCAAAAGGCATTCTGATTTTATTATTTGAAAACAATAAGATTAAGGGAAAACTGTTTTTTAGTTTTTCATAAATGTTAAGAACGAAGAAAGTAAAGGGACTATGCGGGTATCGATGTGATTAAAATGATATAGGATCATGTTCCACATTTGCCTTTTCCATATCTGTTGTGAACAATTCTTTTTGCTCGATTTGTTGATTAATACTTCTCAGTGATTTACGACAACAACGCAGCAGTGGCACATCCAGGATTCATTCGTTCATTTATGGGGGGGGGGGGGGGGGGGGGGGAGGGAAGGCGGACACAGAGGAGGATCCAGCCGGCGGCGAGGGAGGGGGCCCAATTCGTGAGAAAATAGTTAGCGGCGACTCAGCCGATCGGCCGAATAAGCGGGGGGGGGGGGGGCGCGGTAGTGAGCACTTTTTTTTGCTCAACAGGGCAGTAGGGGGGGGGGGGGAGCTCTATTTTGTGTTTAATAACCCCCCCCCCCTCCTGAGCACCGGGGGGGGGCGTCTTCTTCTTCTTTTTTTAAAGGTAAAATTAATGTTACCACCTCCATCTTCCATCTTTAAACAAAAACAAAAATCGCCGACACGAAAAAACAAAAGTTTTCGCGTATTTTCTAGAGGCATATATACCACATGCATGGTATCAAATTTGCCGGTTGTTCTGGTAAAGGAATAACCCTCCTGACCGCGGCATTGACATAGCCTTCTGTGGCATGCCGGGAGAGAACTTGCTCTCGCTATCTTCTTGTTCTCATATTGACTATAAATTAATATTATGCCCCGTTATATACCGAGTATTGAGTGGGCCTTATCCGGGGCCTTATCTTTATCCCAACTCTAACATCCTGCAGCTCCACTTTTTTGCTTCATTTCGTGATTAATACCATAATTTTCATACTCTATTGTATAGGTGAGCCCGTGTTTGTACATGGTGCCCGGAGGGGGGAGGGGGAAGGGGTGGGGAGGGGGGGGGGGTATACTCAGTGGCTTAGACGGCGGGTGTGCCGCTCAAGCCTCGAAACCCCTGCCTCAATTTTAAAAGGTCATTTTGGCAGATTTTCCTCGTCATTATATAGGACCATTTTTCAAAATTTTCGGGAGTTTGCCATTCAAACACACGAACATTTTGGAAATATTGGAAAAAAGGACCCATGCATGTTAAGTGATATTTTGTTAAAAATGGGACTAATGTTTTAGAGGAATGTTTTTAAAAAGCGACTCTTTAGAGGGACACGTACCCTTATAATGTTTCAATATAAGAGTCCCCCGGGCATGGTGCAGATCAAAAAGACCGCAACGGTGCCCCTACAGTAGCCCCCCCCCCTTCGATTTTGGGTTATTCCCTTCTCCTGTTTTGGGTATATGTTTGTTTAATATTTATTTGAGTAGTAATATTACGTGAATCTCATGTAGAAAATGAATGCAAAAACTCCAAAACATCAAAGCCTCAAAAGCCCCCCCCCCCTCGAAAAAACATATAACAAAAATATAAAAATTAAATAAATAAAATCTGCTCTATTTGGAGCCGGACATACGAAGTATGCCCACTAAAATGATAGGACAAATAGCTACGCCATTGTTCTGTACTATTTGAGTGTATTTGAAAGCGGGAGGGGGCAGTTTGCACTTTTCACTTATTTGAGGAGATTATTGTTGCAAGGTAAATAATCATCAAACTGTTGAAAACCTAGAAAAAATAGTTTCTGCTCAGCCTCTGCTGGCGGGCAAAATGTAAAATGACAGCCCCGAAATCTCAGGTAACTGTTAATTTCGGCCCGCGTTCGAATTTGATTAGGGAGCTGTGGCTCCCCGGCTTTCTAGTCTGCAATATACGCCACAGTGATACCTCAGGCTCAAAGTGATAATTATTTCATTAATTCAATGTTAAAATTACATTCAGCAGTCAAGAAAATAATCAATAAAAACAGATCATTACTGTGAAATACGTATATATACGTGTACATTATTTCTTACTTTATTTACTTACCGGTATTCTTACATCATACTTTTTCAGATTATTTCACATTCAAATTGACCTTTTACCAATAATAATAATAATAATAATAATAATAATAATAATAATAATAATAATATGTAATTTTTATATAGCGCTTAATACAAATGTCTCTAAGCGCTTTACAAATATACTATTAACCCGGCCATTGGATTCAGTGCTTGCCCGCACACAATGTGTGCACAATCTCCACTCCCTGGGGAGCATTCCAGTCATGCGGCAGGCGTTATATGATGACGCGGTCGCATCCTACCGGGTACCCATTTAACACCTGGGAGTGGAGAGTAGCAATTGCAGGTTAATATCTTGCCAAAGGGTATTAGTGCCAACTATGTGTAATCGTGTCAATTCATTGAAACACTGAAAACAAATTAATGTTAAGTTCATCTGACCCAAACCAATCAATCAAGTCTGTTCTGTCGAGTGGCCACTTTAAACATAAACAATACCGCACGTGCGAGGAGGAAGAGAGAGACAGAGAGACAGAGAGAGCACGTATGTTTATGCATGCGGAGCAAGCCTAACCGTGCTGCTGGCCTGGGTATGCAGGCAAGCGATATGCTGGAGAAAGTATGCTGCGATACGGCGCGGCTCTTGTTATGCGACACAATCGAAGGGCAACAGAAAGTACTGAACGCATGGCCTCGTCGTTTTTGCTTTAATTTTCATTTATTTGATGTGTTTACATAGCGTTGTTAAGGAATCAAGAGCAGGATCAACTTGTCATTTTTTTGAATGTATCATTTACATAAATTTGATAAAATGCCGAGGTATATTAAGACTTATGAACCTATCGACGATTTTCTTGCTTCTCAAGGACTGGTGAGAAAAATCACCGCCAAGGATGGATCCTGCCTTTTTCGAGCAGTTGCGGAACAGGTATAAAAACAATCACCACTCAGTTTTTAATGTTAACGAATGCCTGCATGTTCTAGATTTTGACATTTCCTTGTTGATCACCCATATCCTTTGAGTTTCTTCGATTTTCGTTTTTATTACAAATGTTCTTACAAATCTGAGTCTCACGGCTGACTGTTTGTTGAGATCGGTGTGTTATCGGTATGACTTTTTGGTCCCCGACCGTCTGCCTGAGTCGAGTATGAATGGCTGAATCAATATGATGCAGCAACTGGGGAATACCCAAGTCTGTTTCCGCACAGATAAGAATGTAAACATAGCTGTCGGATATTGCGTTGAAGTCGTATGATTGTTGTTCTAACCCTAAATTATTGCTGGGAGAGTGTTTTATGAATAATTACTAGTACTGACACTGTAGAATATTAGCCAACACTTGCAAAATGTAATCCTTGCCTGTTGAACTTGAAACTCAAATAGCAACTTGGGGAGCAACTTGGCAATTAAGTGCTAGACCAAACTAGACTAAGTACATTTTGGGAAATTCGCTTTGAATTGGCTATAGCGGGTTTACTATAGATCTAAATCATGATTGTAACTTGTGTATTAGTTCTGTATGATACATTTTAAGTGTATATCTACAGCATATTATGGAAATTTAGCTGGTAATGCGATGTGCAATCCTCCAAATGCAAATATAACCCTCTAGGCTCTAGATCTACTATCTAGTGAACTTTCCTGTTGCCTGAGCTGGAACATGAAAGCACAATCCCAAGCACAAATAAGACAGACAGTCTAGTCAACAAGGAAATTGAATAGTTACTTGGTACTTGGTTGGGTAATCCCTTTGGCAGCTCACTCAGGAAGCTATACTGGGATGGTAGGTGAGGCAAGTGACTACAAGGAGTGTCATGAATTGCTGGAATGGTGTGTGGACAAAGCACTTGTCAATTTACAGTAAAATATGCTAAGTCCAGTGCAAGTAAAAACCAAGCTAGTAAGCTTATATGATGTGAGAACCAACGGGGGGCTGCATCATTCTGATGGAGGGTAGAGCAGCCTCCTTGAAGTTGGTTATTCCTGTTGCATTGACTGCTGAGCCTGGCAGATGGTTCCAGATCCTTATTGCTCTTGGGTAGTATGAGAACTTGAAGGAGTCGATAGTTGCAACAGGAATTACATACTTCAGGTTGTGGTCATGTCTTCCGAAGTATGTAGCAGGGATAACAATAGTTGGTGCAGGTATGGAGACAAGTCGGTGATGGATCTTGTAGAGAAGGGTGCATTGGTCGAGGATTCGACGTGTGTGAAGCGTGTCCCACCCTAGAGCTGCCACAAGACCTTCCATATGGTCAATGCATGTTGGAACTCATTAGACTTTCTTTTTATTACATTGCATGAAAATGTTGAAATATCATATTTTTGCATATATAAGGAAATGTTAACATCTATACAGTATATTCCAAAACATATTCACCATGTTCACATTATTATCAGTAGTAATAGATCTAATGAATCATGACTTTAAAGTTTTACTGGAAAAGCCAAAGAGTTGTCACTAATGATGGAAGTGATTCATAATTCATAAATCTTTATACTGTTCAAAATTTAATCTTGATGAATATCAGCCCTGAATAGTATTAATCTCCATAGTATAAATGTCTGTAATATTATGCTTTTTTTCTTTCTTTTAACTTAAGTAGGACATAACAAAAATACATTATTAATATTAATTTGTTTCTCCTCTAACTACCTTCCATATGTTTTCAGTTATGGTTTTGTTGAATTCACTTTATATCGATAGCTGCACAATAACGTCTAGTATGTAAAGAGGGGGCTATTAAAAAAAAAAAAACTCTTTCATATCTTTTCTCCACCCTTAAAGTCATTTTATTTTGAGCACAGCATTTTGGAAGGCATCACAATTTAGTGGGTTCACATATTCAGTACATAACAATCACTGTATTTTTATTTCCTAATATTGAATAAGAACTTGTTAAAAAACCCTTACAGGTGTTCCATACTCAAGCCCTCCACAATGATGTCCGCCAAGCCTGTATCCGATTTATGGAGCGTAACAAGGAGCACTTTGAACCTGTAAGTTTGATCAAAATTGTTTATATTACTAAACAACAAGTGCCAAGTTGTGTTTCTTCATTAATTCAGATATTGATAACCCAATTGTGTATCATCAAAATCAAACTAAAGATTTAACTGGTTGATCCTGTTTTTAAGTACCAGTATGTTTTTAAATATCTACACTTGCTTTAGATTATTGTATGTAATTTTGTTGAGGTCATTGCTGTCAGTCATGTCAAGACCTTTCAAAATATTAAAACATACCATCTGTTGCTAATAATTTTTTATTGGAAAAAAACACATAACAAATAGTTATCATGTACATAAGCTGTTGATTTGCTGATAAAAGTTCAGACCCTTCTATTTGTTGCACAGCTGCATTGCTCACATACGGGAATTGCCATACCTATTTATGTTTTCCTGACATTGTATCTATTTTTATTTGGTTATTTAGATTATTTTTGTTGATGATGTAAACTCAAATGTTTACAAATCGAGCTCAATGATTAAATCGGTTACTACATTGTAGGTACACCTTTCCTCATGATTAATCTTCCATTTAATTCACTTTTAACAATTCCTAGCCAAAGACACTCTTGTGTATCTTGAGTGATTTACTACGACAGTGACTGGAGATTTAATTGATGTCATTCTACCCCTTTCAAATGTTTTAGCTGGCTAATCGACACCGGATGCTCAAAATTTCATGTCTGTATGCCCCAAATAAAACAATTTCAACATGGGGCCCATAGATGCAACTAAAATTTCAGTCCAGCCCCTTACAAATAAATTATAAGCTTAATTTAGAATCCTGTTTCTCTAAGTCATACCAGAAACACAGATGGTTGTGTTTTAAAGGCTGTATGTACTGTATGTGGACAGGAGGGATTAGACCACCCAGCAATGTCACTGACAGATGGCTATCTCATCAACTCAGCTCTCAATTAACATAAGAAAAAGAGGATCATGGGGGACCAACAGGCACTGATTAGGCATTGTTTTCTACATAGAGGGAGCAAGTAGCTACAAGTTGTACAGTGGGGCTGTTTTGATTTACAATTGATCTCAAACTCTTTTTTTTTTCCTTTCCAGTTTGTTGAAGGGCCATTTGAACAGCACCTAGACAAGTTGCAGAATGCAAAGGTAATATACAACGTCTGAAATAGGAAATTGACAATTTGATCAATAATCACAAAAAAGTTAAATTTGCATCAGAATGGACTCAATGCATTGTATACAGTTGAAGAATGTAGAAACTCTTTTGAATAACTCTTTTATTGGCGAAATGATAAATAAAAGATGTTTTGAATTGCCAATTTGATGTTCCTATTTTTTAGGACAAGTCAAGGCTATAAATCTGTGTGTACCAGAAGTTATTTAAAAATACTATTATGTATCACACTAGCCTTTCCAGAGCATCTTATTCAGGCTAGAGTTCATCAATTATTATGCATGACATTGGAAAACCAAGATGATGGGATGGGGGGGGGGGGGGGGATAGCAGGTGTTTGCATGCAAATTGATAGTGTGCTCCAACTACTGGTACACAGATTGAATAGGCCATTTTCGTAATGTAATCAAATTTAATGCAGAAATCTTGTGCCTCATTAGAAATTATAATGGTTACCCTACCTAGCAACAAGTAATGTATGCAATTTGCATTCAGACCATTGAAATATATTTATTCATAATAGGTGGAGGAATTAATTTGTAATGAGGCACTTAACAAAGACACATGCATTAAATTTGATTATGAAAATGGCCTATTTGCCCCAAAGTAAGATTCTAATTTGAGAAATTCATGGATTTTGTCAGGAGTTACATTGTTGTAGGAGTATTATGTTGAAAAAGGTCATTAAACTTAATCCAAATAGATTTTTCATTCATCAACTTTGGTATTTGCAAAAATCAGGTTGTTTAGTAGATATCATTTTTAGTTTGTTATCAATTACAATACATTTAGTCTTTCTCCTACTAAATAAAGCATTATTTTGTACATCATCAGTTTATATTATAAAATACTGAGTGGTTTATACCATAAAGATGGTACATACATATATACTACCGGTATGTTTTAATCCATTACTTCAAAAAATAATTGTAGAAAGTCCATACATTAATTAGTAATGAATGTGAAATGTAGATCTTTACCTTCATAATACAGATTTGTGGGGTTTTCCTTCCCCCGCCCCACCATTGTTCTAAACCATAACACACCAAAAGGTTATTATACAGAATAAAAAATGAAACAAACATATTGCCAGACAAACTTAGACAATCATTTTTAATGTTCATCATGTTTCCCCCTTTTGCAGGAATGGGCTGGTCAAGTGGAAATCAGTGCTTTATCACTGATGTACAAGTAAGCCTCTCTGCTTCCTCTTCTAGCATTAGTATTGAAGAAAAAAGATCATGTTGTCGATCATGATGAAATTAAACATCACTACCACAACACATCAGTGTAGAATATACTTTTAAGTTTGCTGGAGCTATTTTAGGATTTGGTGTTGTTACTCATAGAGTTTTATTGTTTTTTGAAAGAGCTCTTTTTCAATTTACCAGAGCTCTTTTGAAAATTTTTAGAGCTAAATCACTCACTGCTCCAGTCCTTTTTTCCTCACTGCAACAGATTCATATTGTTATTTATTTAACTTCAAAAGAGTATGGAAATTGTATTGATGACACCTTATTATCTCCAATTACCATTGGCTCTATTTTAGCACTTGGTGAGGATTTGGTTTAGGTTTAAGGCTATGGGTCAGGTTTGGGTCAGGTTTTGGTTTACAGTTTAGATTATGGTTTAAGTTCATGTTTATGTTTATGTTTATGTTTATGATTAACTGGTCAAAATATTCTGATATATTCCTACCTTATAAGTGCTCAAGTAGTGCCGCAATCAATTCTGCATAAAAATGACATTAAGCAATTAGAATGATAAAGACTAGGATTTTCTGTCACTAAGGGAAATGCAACTTTTTGTCTTCCTTTAAAGTAAAAAACAGAATTGCTCACCAGTTCCTGTTACCCGAGCATGTTATGACATGTGATCATTAGAGCACATGAGGAGTCTGTTCAGCATTGTGTAATAACTTTTCGTGTTTTTCGGGTATTTCCCAATGTTGCTAGAAATGCTGTACAATAAAGTCGGGGAAATGGTAGAGAGAGAAACAGACACAGAGAGTTAGAGACGGAGAGATAGAGAGGGAGAGAGAGAGGGACAGAGAGAGAGAGAGAGAGAGAGAGAGAGAGAGAGAGCGACAGACAGAGAGAGGGGGAAAGAGGGAGAGAGACAGTGGCAGAGAGCGAGAGAGAGAGAGAGAGACAGACATAGATACAGAGAGAGAGAGAGAGAGAGAGATTATAGCTCCTGCTCTGACATGAAGTGACACAAAGTGACACAAGTCTCTAGTTTACAGATATAAACATTGCTTAGAATAAACAAATTTAAGCAGTAAAAAATAGTAAAATTAATGAAATAGATAAAATAAACTTAATTATTGTGACTTGTGATTATAGTCAAAACTGAAAAGAAAAGGTCTCCAAGGAAGACACAAAAATATGGTCTTTAAAAAGTTAAAAGACCGACAAGTGCTCTTTATCCCTCAGTGGAAACATGAAAGTCATCTACAATGACAGAGAGTTTTCATTGGTTTATATATGTGGTTAAAACTGGTTTGATTGTATCTTTTTTCTTCAGGAGAGACTTCATAATATACCAAGATCCTGGGAAACCCCCCAGTAACGTGACTCAGAATGGATATCCTAACAAAGTGAGTAGATGTATCATGAGTCAGCCCTGTCTTTTCATACAAAGAACACAAAGTATTGTGTTGGCTGCTTGCAAGAACGTCTTTACTGTCATTGACAAGACATAACTGTTAAAGCCTGCTTGCGGACAGCCAACAATTTGTTTTGGTCTGACTCATATGGGAAGTATTCAGATCAGAGAGTCTGTGTTGTAATTATAAATACATGTAACATGATTTGACATTTTTAGAAGTATGTATGTTTTTGGTTAGAGCCTTGATTAGTTTTCTTTTTTGAAGTGGATGAAAGAAATTTAAACAAACAGTATAGCATAGATTTCGTTGACTTAGCTGTGGGGAATAAAATGAATGAGATAATATTTTATGTATATTTAAAATTTAAAAAACTCCAGAATTTTATAGATGTCTTTGTTTCTGTAAAAGAGGAGTGTGTAGTTTTATTTATAATGATTTTATTAATATTCTATATTTTGATGCAATTTACCTGTTATTTCATAGTTATTTTTAGGTATATTAGAATGTGTTTTATCACTTGCATTGAAATTGTAACAGGGTACCTTCTTTATGCATAATATATATAGGGAGCTTACATGCATGCAGTAGATCTGTTTACTAATTCTATGCATACTTTTTGAACAAAAGTTCTCTTGACACTGAAAAGCTTGCCAGAGACTTGTCCAACATAACAAATAATGTTTGCAAAGTGAATTCCATCCTTAGAAATGGCTTTTTGCATACATGTAGCAGGTGAATCAAATAGAATGTATACATGACAAGGGTTTGGGAGAGAAGCATGAATAATTGAAATACATTAGAAAACAGGCCTATTCAGCAAAGCTTGCCAGAGGCTTTTCTAAAAAGCAACATAATTAGAGTTCCACAATAGAAATGCTGCTTTGGAACATGTGAAAGCATTGATGAACAGCTGTTAATATGTCTTTTAGGAATTTATTTTTCAGTCATTCTGATTTTCATTACAATGATCAGAAAAAGACAACCGATCAGGAGACAACTGAAGGCCTTTTGATTGTTATGCGTAGCCACCACATATTTTTAGAAAGAAAGAATTTCCTGTCTACTGCAGCTGATTTGATGAAAAGATTAGAAGGGAATTTAAAGGGATGAGTTAGCTTTGCCTGAATAATTTCTGCCTTTTGGGTTTCATGGCCATCCTGCAATATATACCTGAATACCTATTGAAAAACTTAAGAATATATTTAATTGATAAATTGCTATAGCATTTACAACAAAAATCACATGTTGAATAATGAGGTTTTAAAGATTTATTCATCGCTGATAAATGTGTGTATTACAGCTGATTGATATTAACTTGATTATGAATTCCCTTGTAGAGTACATCTGTTATTTTATTTTTTGTGTGCTACAAATGATGGATAAGAATGGTATATTGAGTAAGAAGCAAGAAAAAGCTAAAGCTAAAGCCGTGAAAGATATGAAAGTTTTGTAGTACTATGGATGGTATTTATACAGCAATCATTTTGAATTATCGTTGAGATATTGAAAATACATCTCTTTCATAATTACTCCAGGATCATATTTAGCTGAATTAGGCTGTAAACAACATGTTGAGTATAATGAATAGTAACTTTAGATATATTACAGATTGTATAATACAGATGGAAATCAGGCAGAATATTGCTTTTAGTGTTTTCCAGTGTCTGTTGCATGAGTAAAATAAAAAAGGCATTGTAATATTATAAGAGACATGAAGTTTATGAATAGGCCTTAACAAAGACCAAACTCAACTTTGCTTGACCAATGAAACAAATTATCTAGTAATGCTTTTTTCTAAATGTAATATTTCATTTCTATACAGGTACTTCTCTGCTTTTCCAACAACAACCATTATGACAGTGTCTTTACCAAGCAGTATCAGAATAGCCTGGGAGTGTGTCAGTGTAAGTTCAACTTAAGTTCATCCAAACATAAAGTTGATTGAATAGGAACAGAAAAGTTACAGAAACGAGCATTGGAAGTTTGAAATATCGGACACAGGAAAAGGAAGATTGTGAACTCTTCACATTTGTTAAATTTGTGATTAATTAAGTAAAACAAACAATTACTAACAAGATGATAGGCATAGATTTCATCTACAATTAAATGCTCCATTTGTTTTGTGCTCTGAAATATTATTCCTCTTCTTGGTTGATGTATGAATGAACATACCGAGTATTTCTTATTGGAGAACATATTCTGGTGATATTCCTAGAACAGAGGTGTGAGAATATGATTTCTTGGGAAGAAAAGGGAAATTGATGAAATTCCATGTCCAAACAAAGAGGAGCTCACAGACACCTGTATGCATATATTGTGTTTGATTGATGAGTACTTCATGGTGAGAATAATCAATAATGAAAATTGAAGATGGATAAGGAAAGGAGGGTGTACAAGAGAAATGATGAAACAGAATGAAATAACTATAATTCAATAAAATCTTTCACCTTTGCAGTGTCTTACATGAATGTGATTACCCAAAGTAAATTACTGTATCAAGTAACTTAGAAGAGCTTGTTGTCCCCCTTCTAGTACCACCACGTTATTTCTTTCCATAGGCTAAAATACAGGACCCACCCGGTTTCTATAGCCTATTGGTTAAATTTTCATGATTAATTTAGAAAAAAATGAAATTGTAGCTGTGTTATGTGCTTGTAAACTGGACGCACAATTAAAGATTTTTGTATTATCTATATCCTTTCTATGTTGCAGCCATCGTCTATGAGATCTTATACAAGAAAGTCTTCAACATTGCCAAGGAGGCAGACGAGGCCGTGGAGATCTTACGTAACTCCCCAGGCAAGAAGCCCCAGCACAGACACTATGGATTCTCGGACGGACCCAATGCTGGAGGCGATACACTCAATCAGCGATCACCAAGAAGACATGAGGTATTGTTGGCCCGTTCAGACCAGGGGGGTGTTTCACAAAGATATTGGCCCAAATTCACAAAGGAGGTTTGTCGACAAACCTTGGTTTTCATACGTCATATGACGCGTTTTACGCGTTTTTTACAAACCTGGTTTGTAAAGAACAAAAGGAGGTTTGGCGAAACAAAAGGAGGTTTGAGCTCAAACCTTGGTCTGAGCTCAAACCTTGCTTTGTGAATTCGGGCCCATAAGTCTAACTTAACTCTAAGTTGGACTTAACAATTATGGAAAGCCGTTAGCATCATGAAAATATTTTGTAAATCTTATTTTAAAAGGCATAAATGTTGATTCAAATCATTCATATTTTCTATTATAATGGGAGATTTCATGTTCTTGATGTGGAATCTATGAAGAGTCTAAAATACTTCAATTTTTGTTTTTGAATATATTTCATTTTAATGCTACAAATGGCTCTCCATAGTTTTTTAAGTCCAACTTAAGAGTGAAGTTCGACCTAGGATCTTTGTGAAACACCCCCCAGTTCAGAGAAACTATCTGCACATGGGCAGATAAAGCTTTTTTGTACCAAACTGTAAGACCCATTGAGATGATTGCTGGATATGGGGTCAAGAAAGTTTAATCATTATTCATTTATGCACTGGTGGTATATTCTATGACACACAGGTGAAGATGTCCTTTTCAAGAGGGCAAACAAAGGGTATTTATGAAACACCTCCATCACTCTGGCAGTGATTATTCTAAAAAGCATGGAGACTTCTCTATGTTTCAAAGAACTGAGGATATTTGGGGGTCCTTGGTACATCTGCTTTTGACTCTTGTTTCTAGAATGAAGGTGGTTAGGGGTCAGTGACTTACTGCCACTTTACAATTTAGGTTTACCCCCCCCCACACACACACACAAACATACACATAAAATAGACACTCAAAAAGCAATACTTTATTATAATTTGACATTTTTTAGCCTATCATCTAGATACAAAAGTTTCACTATAAGGCCTAAAAAGAGAGAACTAAATTTAAGCATTCAAAACTGAGAAATATCGGCCCAAAGAGGGAGGAAAAAAAAGAAGGAAAAAAAAACAAAAACGACCGACCGACCATACAACAACTTTTTTAGGCCTAATTCTATTTTCTCCATTTCAATTATTTCAATTTTGTGCATACAAAAATACATTAACAAGATAAAGGGATGCCATTTTTCAGACCCTGTCATTTTTTCAGTTCAGGCCTGTTCAGGCTTAATTGGCAAAAGATGTATGAGGCTCCAACATATCTTGGGACTCTCTTTCAGGCTAAATGGGGAAAACCAAGGGTTATCCAGGCTGTGATAGTCCACAAAAATGTTTTTTGTATCAGTTTCGTAGAGACAAAACATATAGATTATTGTCTCTTATGCACCACATGAGCCCAAACAAGAAAGAGATTTTCATTTCATAGCTGCTCTTCTACTCGGTCTTTGTAGACTTTGTAGCAAAATATACATCCACAAATGGTTCTCGGGAGTATAGATTCCTTCATAGTTAACAAGGTTAATACCAAAAGAAAATGAATTGTAGTATGACAAAATGTAATGACAAAAGGACTATGCAAAAAGTGATTAGCTGCTTTATTGCACAGTTTTTGTGCATCCATGAATGCTTCATATGAATACCGATTTTACAAGATTGCTTATTTATGTGCTATAAATGTTTCTGACATATTTAATTATGGAGTTATCGATTGATTGCTATATTAGCAGATAATTTTCTACTGGCATGTGATTGTCTTTGAAAGGAACATTTATTTTTAATTTTGCAACACTTGTCACCATTTTGCTTCAAGTTTATATATGACTTGTAGGCCCATGCAAAGGAAAACAGAATTAGCCATCGATGGCCATTTGCAAATACAGTCGAACCTGTCTATAGCGACCGCCCAAGGGAAACACAAAAAGTGGTCTTTGAAGACAGGTTCCTTTAGTACATGTTTCAATGAGAAACCATTTTCAAGGAGGAAAAAAAAGTGGTTGTTATAGACAGGTGGTCTTTGTAGACAGATGGTCACTAAAGCAGGTTTAACTGTATTCATATCTTTGTGGTTTCTCTGCTACAGGATGACGAGCGTGACAGGTTTGGGAGACTGAGGATAGAGAAGAGGCGTCCTCCACTGCCTTACAAGGTAGCCAAAGCACTTGATCCAGAAATCTACAGGAATGTGGAATATGACTGCTGGAATGAGGGAAACAAAGGTACCATTTCAGGCACCATACATCTCTTTTAAAGCCCCACTGTACTACTTGCTCCCTCTATAAAGAAAACAATGCCTAATCAGTGACCATTGGTCCCCCATGATCCTCTTTTTCTTATGTTAATTGAGAGCTGAGTTGATGAGATAGCCACCTGTCAGTGATCCGCTGGGTGGTCTAATCCCTTCTGGCTGAACTAGTACAGACAGCCTTTAACAGGGCTCCATACTAACCTTTATGAAAGGGGGTCTGGATAGAATGTATGCATCGGCCCTACAGGGTGTATGTAAAAATGTCAGAATTTGGGGGCCCACATTTAGATTTTTGGTGCCCATGTGTCCTGGGCCCCTGTAAGTGTTGAGCCCTGCTAATAATAATACATTCTTGCCTTAATTGTCATTTTGTTGTTATTGTTGTTTTTGTTATTTGGTTGTTGTTTTGGTTGTTTTGTTGTTGCTTTTTTTTGGGTGCAAATTTTGACACACATGTACATGTAAAACGTGACTATCCTATTTGATTTTGGTGTTATATTCAATAATATGATAGTAATAATATGACTGCAGGGCCCTCAGGGAGAACAATATAAATTCTGGTTAAAGAAGACATATTATCATTGATGTTATTATACATAAAGTATATGACAATTTCCTTGTATTATATTACTTTTAGAACAAATGCATCAGGACTATCTACTGGCTACAGGTCTTCAGTTTTGCCCTGGAGACAAAGTTCAGGTGAGACCTTTGTTCAATTTGAGAAAATTTGTATTTTGTAACATTTTCAGAAATTATATGTATCCTGTCAAATATACGATTATTGCTTCTATCTATATCATTGTTACAATGACATTGAATCTCATCGTTATTGTAATGACAATGATCAAGAACATTTGTGGTCCTGATTTCATAGATTGAAGTTGATGAATCAGCAAAGACAGAATACTTTAATTGTGTTAACGCAGCTTCTCATCCATAGGCGTTCCAAATGAGATTCCTAAGGAATTTGCAAATGGGTGAGAGAAAATTTTTAAAGAAACTTACTGTAATCTTTGCATTGAATTAACTGCTGATGGTTCTACTTATGATAAGGGTGATATTTTTGTATTTCAGGTGATCGTAGATGAGACTAAGAAGTGGTACAGTGCTCACATTCAGGAGGTGAAGCCTGATAAAGGACCAATCACAGTGTTTGTAGAAGACCTTGGAGAAAAGTGAGTTAGATGTTTTTTTACTGTACTCAGAAAGTTTAATCCTCGGTCACAAATTCCTCGGTCACAAATGCCATTACAAACTGCTACGAACGCCTTACGAATGATTTTCAGACAATGGAAAAACAGAGATTTGTACAAAATAATCGTTCATACGAACCTTTGTGACTATGGCATAAATTTCTTTTATTCTTGTTAAATATTTACAAACTGGAGACTCGCTATCAAGTGAAAAGTGACGCATAGTTGATGATTGGTCATTGTATTTCAGTGGGAATTGTTATTTCAGCATGATTATTCCAACAGTGTTTAGGGAATATTATGAATTGTCGAAATGTTATTCTGCCAAAAATTCTAATCACCAATGTAGGGATGTTGTGCCTCACTTTTGAATTAATTTATTTTCACCGATTGATTGGCTTATGAAACAATTGTAAGTACAAATATGGCAGTATTTTGATGGTTTATGCCTTGCAGTTTAAGATATAATCTTGTTTTCTATCATGTTCAATACAGACATGAGATTCCAGTAAAGAATGTGAAGCCTCACCCCTCTAATCCACCAAGATCATGGACTACTGCACGCGGCGGTTTCAAGGGAGCTTCTAACTATCACCAGAAGTATGGAAATGGTGCTCCAAATGGTGGTAAGATATTCTCAGTTGTATTATGAAAATCTGTCAATACCAGTGCATACATTTTACATTTTTGTGAAATGTCATCATCGTGATGTATTTTAACATATTTTGTATTATTACCGTGTAGATTCAACCATGATTCTCACTACAATGAAAATTTTTTTCATTTGCCATTAGACTTTAGGCAAAACTGCAAGCACCCTAGATGAATATTAAGCCTACTCTAAACTCATTTAAGAATGTTTATACTTTGGTATGCACATGTCCATGTATTCATAGTTGTGTTCTTAACTCACTTTTACTTTTTTTTTTACCATGGTTTGTATACATGATCCTAATGAAATTTATTTGTAGTTTTTTTATGCAAATAAATTCAAGGGTACATTTTATAAAATCTTTGGCATACAATTGTATGACAAATTAATTTTGCACTTTTTTTTATACATTGTTTACTTTCTCCTATTCTGAATTCATGTACAATACAACTGTTTGTACACATTGTCATATTCTAAACTTCTAAACTCATACACCCACAATGTCTGTTTTCATTCTGCGCTAAATTGTGTGTTTCTAAATTTGAATTTTGTTTAATACACACAGACTTCAGAAACAGAAGCAAACCACCTGTCAAATGGGGGCGGGGCCAGGGCATGATGGTATTGGCCCAGTCTTACCCCCCTGGAGGGGAGCCTATGGGTGAGGGCCAGAGTATCCCCTATCAGATGAGAGGGCAGCAGAACGGCAGCCACAAGGGACCAAAATCCCCCTCTCCATACGGGTAGGTGATTTCCTGATTATTAAGTGTGCTTCAAAGTATTGTTGAAAATTAATTTCCCATGGCTTTGTTGGGATAAAAGAAAAAACAACAACAACAGAACCAAAAACACTAGATTGGATAGTGCAAAGGTCTCTATTTTGCTAGAGAATGTGGTTTGTTTTGTGTTCACATGGGCTCAACTGGTCATTTAAAGTAATATTTAATTGGGTGAGTTGTTCAAATAACATTTGGAGGAAATTATTAAGATTTCGGAAGCTGAGGATTGGATTAGATTTGATGAATTAATGCACATCATGGATTACATACTGCGAATCTTAGATTACCCATTCGAATCTGTCCTGAGTAAATCTGTGCATGCACTCTGTAGGTCTTCTACACCACCACCTCGCTTTATGAATAGGGGGATGGAGGGACACGTGGAGCAGATGGGGAGAGGGAGAGCTCCCGGGTACCAGGGCACACACATGATGCAAGATAACAGGTCAGAAAGGGAGGAGAGGAGAGAAGAGGAGAGGTAGATGAAATTGTTTGAAGTGTTGTGGCGGTGGCATAGAGGAGGGATTTATTTCATATTTATTTGTCCTTATTTTGGTGGGCTTTTAGCTTTTTTTTATTTTTTATAAATGAGGTTAGTCCCATAAGTAACTAGATGACATTTGATTTGGCCTATCATCAAAGGTTTTGTGCACATAAATTTGTGCATTTACATTTGATCTCCAAATGATGTGTAGGAAGTCAAGAACAAAGTTTCTTCTAGTCAATTTCTTGAAATTGTGATGATTAAGGGCTTGTTTAATCATAGTTGGTACTTTATTCAAAGGCCTCGACCCTCCATGACTTGTATTTTTGAACCAGTGCTCTCATCACCGACCCATTGCACCTCAATTACATGTAGTACTTACTTGTAGTATTCTTTTTACCATGTATTACCATTATGATTTAATAATGCCTTTCAGGGGAGGTAGAAACGGACGGATGTACAACCAAGGAATGCATGGTGGCAACTATCAGTATGAAGGAGATATGTCCAGCGAGGAAATGGAGGAAAGGAAGGCTTTTGAAGAAAACATGGCCATGTATGAAGTGCAGGATCAATCTTCATTTCCAACACTGCCTGTAAGTCACAGTGAAGAGGCATTTCGTTGCTACCAGGGGATACAATGTTCCCTGAAAATGTGCCTTGATATATGGATTATGAAATAAATGTTCTTGAACATTTAGTGTAAGTTGACGATTCCCCCCACCCAAAATGTGGTTCGGCGCCTTATGCAGAAAGAAATACACCAATCTTGGTCGAGTTTAGCTGCAGTAATTCTCCGCACCTCATTAGCTGTGGAACAAAGAACATGATTTATCCATTGCTCTACTAGTTATGAGCCATTCCTATTACATTCTTCATCAAGTCATCTTAGCATATTTTGTTAGGTTTATAATTAGAGAAATAAGAGAGTTAAAGTGTTCTTGAAAGCAAATCGACCAATTCGCTAATTCATATTCTGTGCAAGTTTTATAGATTTATTGCAGAATCAGCTATACTGCTTGACCCACAAAAGCAAGATTATCTGAAATGTGACACTTTTCCAAAGAGAAGTGAATAGTCCTATTTGACACCAGAGATACAAGCAATTAAACAAAATGATGACTCTTTAATCTATAAATGGTTGTATATTTTTGTTCTCTAGATGCAGTCCAATTGTGGACCTCAAGGTGGTCCTGGCAATAACCCTGCTCAGTTTTGGAGTAAGATGAGAAAGGATGGTAGGAGAAGCATATCACCACAGCAACGAATGGACTCGCCCTCTCCACATCATATGACAGACAGTAAGATTAATAATAATAATATTTAGCTTTTATATAGCGCTTATTGCAATGTCTCTAAGCGCTGTACAGATATACTGTTACCCCGGTCATTGGATTCAGTGCTTGTACGGGCAAGCTCCACTCCCTGGGGGAGCATTCCAGTCAGGCGTTACTTGACGCTCAAAAACTGTTTGACCAACAATGACGGTCGTATCCTACCAGGTACCCATTTAACACCTGGGTGGAGAGATCTGGGTGAAGAGATCTGGGTGGAGAACCTGATATTTGCGATGATGGCATTTGCTCTGGGCTTTATTTCATCCAAGATATAGACAGGGATGCCAGTTTTCAGGCCTGGCGAGTTATTTTCAGACCATAGTTTAGGCTTTTTGTGTACAAAATAGCTCATTCTAGGTGATTTTCAGGCCCTCTGATCAATTCTAACTGGCATCCCTGTGTAGGGCTATAGTTGCAATTGCAATTGGGTTTTAGGCTAGGTTTAGGCTTAGGGTTTTTTTGCTCAGAGTTTTGCCCAGGATTGATCGTAGGAAATAGGTTTACTGCTGACAATTGACCATGGAGCATGTCTCGTAGAACCACTATCCTGTATCCTCTTGGTCTATTATGAATAGATAATGACTACAAAAAATTGAAAGCTTTTGGTAACACCTCATGGCAGCCATATTGAAAACGATGTTCATATGTCCTTTGTTTCAAGAATTTCCTATTGGGCATTTATTTGTAGTTATATTTTTGTAGTTATAATCATGTCAACAGGAAATTGGGCATTTGACATGTGTGGCAGATGATCTAAACATAAAATTATTTACTTAGTAACTAATTCATAATCCTTACTTTCTGATAACAGAGAGAGGTTCTGATCCTATGGACTCCATGATACCTGGGCAGTTTCAAGACATGATGATGTCCAATCAAGGTACTTGTCTACTGACTCTAGAATAATTTATTTAAACTCATTCTTTATCAATATTTATGTGTTAAATAATGAGAATTCAGGGTAGTTGTAATAACAATACGATGATAAATTATCAGAAATATAAACAAAAGAAGATAAATATCAGATTGCTATAGGATTTGTACTGAATCGCACCGGCCCGCCAAATTAATTTGAAAAAACGTATAATAGTTGAGTTACTAGCAAAGATAGATAAAACTATCAAAGCAACCAGACCATTTGTTTGAACAGGTAGTCCCTTCTGTGTGCATCTACCGTAAATCTCCGTGTATAAGGCACACTTTTTTGCCGCCGAAAAAATTTGAAAGTCGGGGGTGCATCTTATACACAGGTACAGAAAAAAAAGTTTTTTTAATTTTTTTTTTAGTTTCGATTTATGGCGCTATGCCTGGCAATGTCTCCCAGCTCAGTAATCAGTGTGTTGACTCACCACTCGGAAACTACAACAACACTCAAATTTGTCTGTCATCTTGGTTTGAAAGTAATCTTTCTAATAGATCTCGATATGTAGTTTATAATAATAATTCCTCAATTTTTTTTTCTATAACAAATGGTGTACCACAAGGTTCTATCCTAGGTACTCCATTGTCAGAAATTTAGAGGATGCTATTCATATCATGCATGACTATTGATGTTTGGCATAGAACACAGTGCTTCTGCTAGGTGATGTGATGAGGCTGGTGTGGGACACTTGTATCATGAAGCCTAAGACTGTTACTATTATTTGTGACAAGTTCACAACTTCAACTGCACCTCGATGTAAAATGAAGGTCCTTCCCCGCGTGGGTTTTCGGCAACAAAACAACAACAACAAAACAAAAAACAATCTTTTTTTTTCCCCAAAAAATAGTGATGCGCCTTATACACAGGTGCGCCTTATACAAAGAGATTTACGATATTTTTGTGTTTTACTTTATGTGACATTCTGTAGTCTTTACATTTTACCTGTAACCATGTAGAGTGATATTTTTCACATACTTTAACACGATGACTTTACCTTTGTCCTTGATTTATCCATTGTGTCTCTTTAACTTTGTCTTGACAGATCAAAGAGGCATGGATGTAGGTTGTATGGAAAGACATTACAGTCCTATCACAACTATGGTAAGTAGATTGTATCTGTGAAGAACCAAAAGGGACTTGCAATGTACATTTGTATATTTGGAAAGAGAGTGCTTCTAAACATGTACAGCATATCATTTAAGAGCTTTATGTGACAGATTCTTTAGTAATTTTTCCATTTGTGTATTTTGAAACGACCAGTTTTTCATGGGATCACAACTCATGATCCATTTTGAATTTCATGAAAAGACATAATGTTACTCATATTTGTCTAAACATACTTTTAACAAAAATCAATAGTTTGTCATCCGTGGCACTGAAATTGTTAATAGACTTTTTTTTTTGTTCATTTAGCTTGAGATGGAATTGATGAAAGATTGATTTATAAGATACAAACAACAATGTTCAATTTCATTTTACAGGACTGTGTTTTATTTGAACATTCTACTCATTCAAATGTATTAGCAAGTCCAAAGTATCTGTCTCTTCTCATCCAATGTCTGCCCTTTTCCTTCCAACCATACAGTCTGAAGAAGGCATGATACACCCTTCTAAATCTCCACCTAGGCCTAAAGTCTCGTTCAAATATGATGTGGCAAAACCATAGCGTTTTTTTAATGATGACGTAAAGAGTAATATTTTTCACATTTATGTATCATATAATACACAGCTCATTGAATACGCACAAGTCCTTTGTTGCACGCAGTTGCCAATCATTTACACATTTGTAAAATGTTGCAGTTTGTTTTGCGGTGGTTTACGGCGCCATAACTGAACCAGCCTTGAAGAGTGCCATGCCCTCTAGTTCAAACATCAGCCCCTACTTAGGCCCGAACTTCAAAAATCATTTTTATTTCTCTATATTTAAATAATATGAAATTATCTCCAAACCTTACAGACCAAAGAAGGTATGATACACCCATCCATCTCTCTCTCCATGCTTATGAGTGCCAGACCCTCTAATCTAAAGTATCAGCCTCTACTTGGGCCCAGACTTGAATAGTTTTTTATTTCTATATATGAAAAAGATGTCAAATTTTCATCTAATCACTGTACTGAACTGAATGCTTCCCAGGGAGTGGAAAATGTGCATACATTGTGTGCGGGTAAGCCTGAATCCGATGACCGAGGTAATAATATATCTGTAAAGCGCTTAGGCACATCGTTGTATCGATGTATTGGGCGCTATATAAAAGCAGAATATTAATATTATTATTATCATACTGTCTTTCAACCACACAGACAGATGAAGGCATGATACACCCTTCCACCTCTCCGTCCATGCCTAAGTGTGCCACACCCTCTAGTCTGAGCATGAGCCCCTCTCTGGACCCCCAATCTGGGTCTCCACCAACCATTGCTCCTGCTGGTTACGTTCCACCGATGACCATGGGGTTACCCTTCTACCATTTCTTCATCTCACGTGAGTAAAGGAGGACTGTTAGGCCTTTAAAAAAAGGATGTTGTATTGCCCTTTGCAACTGACTCACAAATCTTGAAATTTAGGTCGGCTTTTTAAAAAATTTTTTTTTTTCTGTTAATAGTAAAGCATTCAAAACTGAGCAATATCAGCCCAAAGAGGGAGAAAAAAGGTTTTTTGTAATTTTTTGTAATTTGTCATTGAAAAAGGGCTCTGTGAAATGGGGCCTAGATGAGCCAGTGCAATAGTGATTGTGTAATAGACGAAGATACATACTTACAACATTTTCTAGCGTATAAAGTAAATAGATAATTAATTTGTTGTTGTTGCCGTTATATAGGTATACCAGAAAGAAACCCGAAGTATTGATCATTGCAAGTAATTTTCATATTGAGGTGAATTAGTAAAATTATGGCGCACATTACGTAGAAATATCCTCTACAACAAATGATATAATTCCTTACATTCACCTGTAAGTGAATTTACAATGATGGAAATTTTGAAACGATGATTTTCTTTTGAAATTTGAATGTCATGTACAATAGTGTATATGTGTTTTTGTTTTTATTGCAGTAACAGAGTGGAATATACCAGGAAACGTCAACTTCAACTCTCAAATCTCACGAGATCCAAATGGGAGTGATCTACCATTATCAGGTCTGTGTTACATCATCACCCTCTTTCTCAAAATTAGGAAGAAGATATCATTTTGTATTTTATTCCATGCATGTTTACCTGTAGTTCCTTTTTCTTTCCTTCTTTATTAATTTCTTCTTTTTTTCTTTCTTTCTTTTTTTATGCCTCCGCCACTGAAGGTGGTGCCGGAGGTCAAAGGTCAAGGGTCACAGAGGTCAACTTATGAAATTCCATACATTGAGATTGTTATCATAATATCTCAAGAACCACTGGAGATTTAAACTTCAAACTTAATGATAGTGTGTATCACCATAGGAAGACAATCTGATTAGATTTTGGAGCACGTAGGTCAAAGGTCAAGGGTCACAGAGGTCAACTTATGAAATTCCATACATTGAGATCGTTATCGCGATATCTCAAGAACCACTGGAGAATTTTCACTTCAAACTTAATGATAGTATGTATCACCATATCATAATATCTCAAGAACCACTGGAGATTTAAACTTCAAACTTAATGATAGTGTGTATCACCATAGGAAGACAATCTGATTAGATTTTGGAGCACGTAGGTCAAAGGTCAAGGGTCACAGAGGTCAACTTATGAAATTCCATACATTGAGATTGTTATCATGATATCTCAAGAACCACTGGAGATTTAAACTCCAAACTTGTTTAAATTGCTCTATGGCGGAGGCATAATTTTCGACTGCGCGCAGTCAAAATTCCATCTAGTTTTTAATAGGTTACTTTCCCCACAATGAATGTCCATACATGCCATTAGATGGATCTTGACCCCCATATCCCTTTGAAAGGGGCGTAGGGGCAAATATTGTGGATAATTTGAATAAACACCAATTTCAGGCCGAAATGGTAAGGGCCGGGGTGGTTCAGGATTTTGGAGGAAAATATATATTTTTTTTAATAGGCTAGTTTCTCCACAATGAATGTACCTACATGCCATTAGATGGATCTTGACCCCCATATCCCTTTGAAAGGGGCATAGGGGCAAATATTGTGATAATTTGAATAAACACCAATTTCAGGCCGAAATGGTAAGGGCCGGGGTGGTTCAGCATTTTGGAGGAAAATATTATATTTTTTGAATAGGCTAGTTTCCCCACAATGAATGTACATACATGCCATTAGATGGATCCTGACCCCCATATCCCTTTGGAAGGGGCGTAGGGGCAAATATTGTAAAAATTTGAATTATCGCAACTTTTGGGCCGAAATTAGAAGCGCCGGGGTGGTTCAGCATTTTGGAGGAAAATATATATTTTTTTTAATAGGCTAGTTTCCCCACAATGAATGTACATACATGCCATTAGATTGATCCTGACCCCCATATCCCTTTGAAAGGGGCGAAGGGGCAAATATTGTAAAAATTTCAATTATCACAACTTTCGTGCCGAAATTAGAAGGGCCGGGGTGGTTCAGCATTTTGGAGGAAAATATATATTTTTTTTAATAGGCTAGTTTCCCCACAATGAATGTCCATACATGCCATTAGATGGATCTTGACCCCCATATCCCTTTGAAAGGGGCGTAGGGGCAAATATTGTGATACTTTGAATAAACACCAATTTCAGGCCGAAATGGTAAGGGCCGGGGTGGTTCGGGATTTTAAAGGAAAATATATTTTTTTTTAATAGGCTAGTTTCCCCACAATGAATGTCCATACATGCCATTAGATGGATCCTGACCCCCATATCCCTTTGAAAGGGGCATAGGGGCAAATATTGTGATAATTTGAATAAACACCAATTTCAGGCCGAAATGGTAAGGGCCGGGGTGGTTCAGCATTTTGGAGGAAAATATTATATTTTTTGAATAGGCTAGTTTCCCCACAATAAATGTACATCAATGCCATTAGATGGATCCTGACCCCCATATCCCTTTGAAAGGGGCATAGGGGCAAATATTGTGATAATTTGAATAAACACCAATTTCAGGCCGAAATGGTAAGGGCCGTGGTGGTTCAGCATTTTCGAGGAAAATATTATATTTTTTGAATAGGCTAGTTTCCCCACTATGAATGTACATACATGCCATTAGATGGATCCTGACCCCCATATCCCTTTGGAAGGGGCGTAGGGGCAAATATTGTAAAAATTTGAATTATCGCAACTTTTGGGCCGAAATTAGAAGGTCCGGGGTGGTTCAGCATTTTGGAGGAAAATATTTTTTTTTTTTAATAGGCTAGTTTCCCCACAATGAATGTACATACATGCCATTAGATTGATCCTGACCCCCATATCCCTTTGAAAGGGGCGAAGGGGCAAATATTGTAAAAATTTGAATTATCACAACTTTCGTGCCGAAATTAGAAGGGCCGGGGTAGTTCAGCATTTTGGAGGAAAATATATATTTTTTTTAATAGGCTAGTTTCCACACAATGAATGTCCATACATGCCATTAGATTGATCCTGACCCCCATATCCCTTTGAAAGGGGCATAGGGGCAAATATTGTGATAATTTGAATAAACACCAATTTCAGGCCGAAATGGTAAGGGCCGGGGTGGTTCAGCATTTTGGAGGAAAATATATATTTTTTTTAATAGGCTAGATTCCCTACAATGAATGTACATACATGCCATTAGATTGATCCTGACCCCCATATCCCTTTGAAAGGGGCGAAGGGGCAAATATTGTAAAAATTTGAATTATCACAACTTTCGTGCCGAAATTGTAAGGGCCGGGGTGGTTCAGCATTTTGGAGGAAAATATATTTTTTTTAATAGGCTAGTTTCCCCACAATGAATGTACATTCATGCCATTAGATGGATCCTGACCCCCATATCCCTTTGAAAGGGGCATAGGGGCAAATATTGTGATAATTTGAATAAACACCAATTTCAGGCCAAAATGGTAAGGGCCGGGGTGGTTCAGCATTTTGGAGGAAAATATATATTTTTTTTAATAGGCTAGTTTCTCCACAATAAATGTACCTACATGCCATTAGATGGATCTTGACCCCCATATCCCTTTGAAAGGGGCATAGGGGCAAATATTGTGATAATTTGAATAAACACCAATTTCAGGCCAAAATGGTAAGGGCCGGGGTAGTTCAGCATTTTGGAGGAAAATATATTTTTTTAATAGGTTAGTTTCCCCACAATGAATGTACATTCATGCCATTAGATGGATCCTGACCCCCATATCCCTTTGAAAGGGGCGTAGGGGCAAATATTGTAAAAATTTGAATTATCACAACTTTCGGGGCCGAAATGGTAAGGGCCGGGGTGGTTCAGCATTTTGGAGGAAAATATAATTTTTTTTAATAGGTAAGTTTCCCCACAATGAATGTCCATACATGCCATTAGATGGATCTTGACCCCCATATCCCTTTGAAAGGGGCGTAGGGGCAAATATTGTGATAATTTGAATAAACACCAATTTCAGGCCAAAATGGTAAGGGCCGGGGTGGTTCAGCATTTTCGAGGAAAATATTATATTTTTTGAATAGGCTAGTTTCCCCACAATGAATGTACATACATACCATTAGATGGATCCTGACCCCCATATCCCTTTGAAAGGGGCGAAGGGGCAAATATTGTAAAAATTTAAATTATCACAACTTTCGGGCCGAAATGGTAAGGGCCGGGGTGGTTCAGCATTTTGGAGGAAAAATATATATTTTTTTAATAGGTTAGTTTCCCCACAATGAATGTCCATACATGCCATTAGATGGATCTTGACCCCCATATCCCTTTGAAAGGGGCGTAGGGGCAAATATTGTGATAATTTGAATAAACACCAATTTCAGGCCGTAATGGTAAGGGCCGGGATGGTTCAGGATTTTGGAGGAAAATATATATTTTTTTTAATAGGTTAGTTTCCCCACAATGAATGTCCATACATGCCATTAGATGGATCTTGACCCCCATATCCCTTTGAAAGGGGCGTAGGGGCAAATATTGTGATAATTTGAATAAACACCAATTTCAGGCCAAAATGGTAAGGGCCGGGGTGGTTCAGCATTTTAGAGGAAAATATATATTTTTTTCATAGGCTAGTTTCTCCACAATGAATGTACCTACATGCCATTAGATGGATCTTGACCCCCATATCCCTTTGAAAGGGGCATAGGGGCAAATATTGTGATAATTTGAATAAACACCAATTTCAGGCCAAAATGGTAAGGGCCGGGGTGGTTCAGCATTTTCGAGGAAAATATTATATTTTTTGAATAGGCTAGTTTCCTCACAATCAATGTACATACATGCCATTAGATGGATCCTGACCCCCATATCCCTTTGAAAGGGGCGTAGGGGCAAATATTGTAAAAATTTGAATTATCACAACTTTCGGGCCGAGATGGTAAGGGCCGGGGTGGTTCAGCATTTTGGAGGAAAATATATTTTTTTTAATAGGTTAGTTTCCCCACAATGAATGTACATTCATGCCATTAGATGGATCCTGACCCCCGTATCCCTTTGAAAGGGGCGTAGGGGCAAATATTGTAAAAATTTGAATTATCACAACTTTCGGGCCGAAATGGTAAGGGCCGGGGTGGTTCAGCATTTTGGAGGAAATTATATATTTTTTTAATAGGTAAGTTTCCCCACAATGAATGTCCATACATGCCATTAGATGGATCTTGACCCCCATATCCCTTTGAAAGGGGCGTAGGGGCAAATATTGTGATAATTTGAATAAACACCAATTTCAGGCCGTAATGGTAAGGGCCGGGATGGTTCAGGATTTTGGAGGAAAATATATACTTTTTTTAATAGGCTAGTTTCTCCACAATAAATGTACCTACATGCAATTAAATCGATTCTGACCCCCATATCCCTTTGAAAGGGGCGTAGTGGCAAATATTGTAAAAATTTGAATTATCACAACTTTCGGGCCGAAATTGTAAGGGCCGGGGTGGTTCTGCATTTTGGAGGAAAATATTATATTTTTTTAATAGGCTAGTTTCCCCACAATGAATGTACTTACATTCCATTAGGTTGATCCTGACTCCCATATCCCTTTGAAAGGGGCGAAGGGGCAAATATTGTAAAAGTTTTAATTATCACAACTTTCGTGCCGAAATTTTAAGGGCAGGGGTGGTTCAGCATTTTGGAGGAAAATATGTATTTTTTTTAATAGGCTAGTTTCCCCACAATGAATGTACATACATGCCATTACATGG